CACTGTATTTAATCAATAGCACTGCTTTGTAATTATATAATTCCTTCAGTATAAAATAACATTTACTATAAATTAATTTAAATAAATTTTATTATTGGTGGAATTATATTTGATTAAACTAATTATCGTTTCATAAATAAGAGTTTATTATAAGTTTTGAATAGACTATATTATATATAAGTGATAAAAATATTCAATAGTAATAATTTTTTAATAAATTAATTTACATAAAATCTATTTACAATATTCACATAACAAAAGTATTTATTTTATGGTAATATAAATTTTGTTATATAATATATGATGAAATGATATTTAAAAGTAATGATTTATAATATAAAAAATAATGATTACGTAATTTTATTAATTTAATTAAAAATTAAGAAACGTATATAATACAAAATTAAATATAATTTAAATTATACTTATTATATACATTATAATATATAACATAGAATATAAAAAATATAATAAATTAATAATCCATTGTTGAAATGAAAATATTACATAATAATAAGCGATATTAATTCAAATAAAAGATACAATATGCAAGCTGAATTTAATTTAAAAACGATTGAGGATCATATTATTCAAGATTTTTTATTATTTTAAAAACTTTTACAAAAGAGAAAATAATAAAAATAGTAAATGTTTAAGTAAAGTAAGTAAAGGCATTAATAATCTAATAAATGAAATAATATTTGGATGATTAACATTTTTACACTATTAACAAATAAAGTATTATCGCAAATATTTTATGATATTGTATACAGAATCAAAATTTTAAAACAAAAATCTAAAGCTCCAACTGAATAATATATAATTGCTCTTGTTCTCAAACTTTTATTTTTATTTTTATTCTTTTATATACTTTATTTCTTTGTTGTACTATAGATCACTCTCTTCTTATATAATTACCTTATTTTCAAATAATAGGCCAATTTATACTCAAGATTCAGCTTAAAACAATCGCTCCCTCTCTCCCTCTCTCTCTCTCTCTCTCTCTCTCTTCCTTCGTTTCCTTCTCTTCCTTATTCTCTCATGTACATACGTCTACACCTACACCTGCATACGTAAACTGAAATTGACTGCCCTCTGGGTTTAAAGAACGCTTATTTCACTTATATAAGTGTATGATTAGATCAAGCCTTATATATATATATATATATATATATATATGTGTGTGTGTGTGTGTGTGTGTGTGTATAATATTTCTGCCCTTTAGGGTCCATGAACAGTCTCCGCCCACATTCGAATGCATTATAATACCTTTTTCTTTCTTTATGTTAAATTCTCTTTATTTTAATACCTTTAATTTTTATATAGTTGAACACGTTTAAATTATTTATAATGCTTCAAATATTTATTAAATATTTGAATATAAAATTATATATAAAAAAATTGAATATAAAAATTGAAATATTAAATATAAAATTTTTATTAAATATAAAAACTAATAAGGAATATTTCATTCAACATTTAATAGGTGTAAGCTTTACGATTTGTAATCCCATATTTTATATAATAAAACTATTATTCTTAACCCGCCAATAACAAAAATAATATATTTTTTTTAATTATATGAAATAAAAAATAAAAAAATATTTTATTTAGAAAATTTTATACGTTATGATTTAAGATTCATTTTTTTTAATGATTCATATATCCCTTCAAATTGAATTATTAGCATTCAATGTAATTGAAAATATTAATATTACCAAAGACTGTTGAATAAATTATTAAATTTATTGATTTAAATAAGTTTTGTATATATAATGTGTAATAACTGAGTATATAGAAGGTTAATAAATATTAATGGATATAATTGGATCTTTGATTATATTAGAATAAATGAGAGTTTTCTACAAAATTATAATAATCTGTTAAATGTTAAGTTAATAAGTTTGAATAACTACCAATCTTCGACTTATTGGTAGATTATGATTATATGTTACTTATGTTCCCATTAAACATTATTTATAATTTACGGAATCAATAAGTATTTCAAAATTAAAAACTCTCACTTTCATTTTTATTTTAATAATAAAATTTTTTATATTATACTCCTATTCCTTTTTCTATTTAATAGTAATAAAAATCGCGGAAAAATTATTTTTATAGCTTATTATTTGCTATGAGATTATTATCGATTCAAATATATTATCGATTAAAATCAATAAAATATATATAATCAAGATGGATAACAAAAACCAAATACATATATTTTTTTCTTTTGTAATAGTAATCATATGTAGTTAGCTTTTAGTTTATTTAATAGAAATATAGATCTGTCTCGTGTATTAATGATAAATATTTTATAATTTTAGAAAATTAAAAAAAATAATGATATCAATAATTAAAAATGTATTAACTTAAACGTTAAGTTATAATGAATGATAAATAAATAATAAATATACACGATCAAATAAGTTTTATGGGGTTAAAAATTTCAAATTTAAGCTATTCATATGAATTGATTAAAATGTTGAAAATCTTTTTTTCAATTTTTATCTAGATTTTTTAGTAAATCATAGTATTAATTTTAGTTATTTATTTTAATTTATTTAAGTTTCAACTTTTTATTGAAAATTCTTGAAAATTTGAAAATTTTATTGATACTCCTATAAAATATTTATTTAATTATATATTATAAAAAATAAATAGATAATGTATAAATAATAAATACATTAGTGAAGTAAGAAGTCATAAAGTTTAGTAAATAATAATGTAAGAGTAAAGAGTTTGGTGCTCAATAGAAAAAAAAACTATAGTACTAAAAAAATGACAATGAAATGAAAAGGAATAAAATCAGTAATCAACTAATGTTATTTGTAATATATTTACAATTATGCATATGAGTTTAATCGATATGTAGTGGTGTCATAATAATGCTTGCATTATGTATTTCTAGCAAAATTACGTTTTTCAAAGATTAAAGACAAGATTAAGAATACTGCATTAGTGTTTTATTTATTTGGTTACTACCATCTTTATCTATTAATCTTTTAAGCTTTCTATGTATCACAGCCATTTGTGTTCATATTTTTTAATAAAATACCGTTTTTATAACTTAAGTGTTCTATACTAAGATTGATAAACTGCTTTCAAATATTTATATAATGAATACATGTAGAATTAGTATATACATATAAAATGTAACGAATGATGTTACGTGCTATAACCGCAATAAGGTTTAATGCGTAGCACTGAATACATTATAAAAAGCGATTTTATAAATCATCATATTTTTATTTTCTTAATATTCGTTCCACTCTCAAGTACTATTTCAACATGTCCTATCGTTTTTGTTTCATTTTTTACTTTATCTTTTCGTTTATGTTTACAAATTCAAAACAATTGATCTTGAAATTAGCATTCCAATAAAATTTGGATCCGTAGAATTCATAATAATCAATGTATAATATTAAATTTAGATACATTAGATTCGCTTAGTTCGTTATTTATGACAAGCAAAGCAATAACACCTTTTATAAACCGATAATAATATACATAATATTATTAATTTCAGAATTAGTGAAAATTCATTATTTAAAATCATAGCATTAAAGTAAGTAATAGATATTTCTTTCTTTCATTTATTTTTGAATTTTTATTTTCTATTCACGAATGGCTTATTCATTAATTATAAATAAATACACGGTAGTTCTATTTTTTTATCTGTAAGACCGTTTCACAATTTAGAATTTATTATAAAATGTTCTCCAATTCTTTTGTTGGTCATTAATATTTTTAATGAAATATAAGTATGTGTAATGTCATAACTAATGAAATTTTATTAATATTTATTTAATGTTTGTTTGCTTGTCTTGCAATCTTTATTAGTAAAATATTTTTAATTTTCAATGAAAATAAAATATTACAACTTAAGAAAAATAGAAAAATTACATTAAAATAAAATTTGTATTTAAATCGTCATTATTTATTTATATAGAAATTAAACGTGATTACAATTGAAATCTAAAAAGTGGATGAAAAATATAAACTTGTGGAAGTAACTCAGATGAACAAATCTTTTCAATGAAAAATCTTTTATAAGTTAATAACAGTAATTAGAATGATCAAATAAAATGTATATAAAAAATGTAAAATAAAAAACATTATGTTGTTGCATTAAAACAAGTTTTGTAGTAAATTTACATGATAATTGTATTTCATAATCAGAATGATGAATAATTATTGCCTGTTGTTGAGGTTCGATCACCTACAAAAAAACAATGGACTAAAGTTTGACTAATATGATAACTTAAATAGACATTCAAAATTACCTAAATGGAATTCCAATATCATGATGTATCTAAAATTAGGGTTTACTCCTCGAACATTGTAAATTATTATACTGCAGTTCTTTTCGCAATTCTCTTCGTGAATTAAATCAGTAACAGTGTAATTGTCTGAATAAATTTAAGGATGGAATCTCACGTGTTTTTTTTTAATTCTTGCACAATTAAGAAACAATTTTTACAATATGTCTTACTATGGATCTATAAAAATAATATTAAAAGAATTTAATTTCCAATCAGTATTATTTATTTTCCTTACAGTTTGTGGTACTAAAGGGAATAAGCAAAGAAACTGAATGTCTCCATTAACATAGAATTATATGAATAGGCTATAATCGTCTATATTCATGTAAATGTTTTATGATATAGTGAAAAATTAAAAGAACATTATTTTATAAATATAGAAAATTAAAAATTATTTATTGTCAAAAATATTAATTTATTTTTATCAGCTTACGATAAAATTATTAAAATAAAATTATGTATGCACACTAAGTTAATACATGTAAATAAAATATTTAGTATTAGAAAACAGTATATTTCAATTATTTTCTTCAATTCTATAAAATTTGTTATTATTACATCAAGCACTTGGAAAATTTAGTATAATTTAGTACAATTTTTAAATATTCATTTTTCTTTCATTTCATGAATCATGGGAACCAATGAAAGACGAACTTTCTTTTATACGTATATTGTATAGATAGTAGTTCAGATAGCATAATAAGTATTTATTACAGACACATTATATAATATTTTTAATGTGTCTATTCACGTGAATAAAATCTGAGACATAAAAAAGTGTTGTGTTAAAGTTTGTGAATAGCATAGTTTTAACACATAAATACTATAATAACCTAATTAAATAAAAATATACATATAAACCGTTATACAGATATTGTATAAGAACAAAAATAGAATGCCACGAATGCCTTTACATCTTGCTTCTGGAACAGGAGTTTCTTCAAATTATAAACAAAAGGCTATAAGATTTGTTAGATATGGTTGTGCTAACAGACCGTTTTACCACATTGTTGTAATCAATGTAAAGTTTATTTTTTGTAATAGTATATATAGTAATGTATTTTATTGAATGTATTTAATTACAATATATAAAGTAAATCTATATTACTATTTTTTAAGATTTTAATAAATATTTGTAGAATATAAAATGAATTAATGTAATTAAATATTTTTAATTTGATTTATTCTTAAATTTGCAATTCAAATAAAGAAATGTAATGATATAAAATAATTTGTGTAATAACGGTAAATTTTTGTAATGCATTGGTAATTATTTTTATAAATATAATTTTTATAGGTTAAGATTGTGAGCACATTATGATGTTTCATTACACTGTCTGTCAAAAATATTTTATATACATTAAAATTTATATATTTATGTAATCATTTACATAATGTATTTCAATTAAAAATTGATAATTTGTAATTTCTTATATTTACTATTATTTTAAAGCATTCAATAAATATTACGATAGGTTTGTACTCATATAAATTAGATATTTCAAATTTTTAAGTATTAATCTTAATTTATATTTTTTCTTGATTATAATTTTTATATTTCTGGTCTATAAATATATGTTCAAAGCATTTTCTATGAACAAATATTTTTTATTCTTAATATTTTTAGTTTTTAGTGTTTAAAAAAAAATTTTAATTTATATGTATTGTACTATAAAATACAAATAATTACTTTATAAAATTGTAATAATAAAATTTACAAATAAAAATATACAATGCTTGTATATTGAATTTAACATTTAAAAAAAATGATATTCAGTAAGGTTTTTTAAATTAATTAAAAAATAGAATGTATTACATAAAAATGTACTACATAAAAATTAAATGAAAAAAATTTTCATTGCGTTTCATCCATCTTATATTCATTTGTTTTATATTACATACTTAATATTAGACATGAAGAATTTATAATCTGTCATAATATTAGCTCAAGTTTATGTATATCAATATTTTAGAGAATAGCAACATAATGCTTATTAATATGATCATTTTGTATGTATCCTACATTTTATATTAATTGTTGTATTGGTTCAAATAGTTTTTTATTTTTTCAATTACACATATACCTGCATTCATAAAAAACTTGTTTAATCATGTTTTAATTATAATCGAAATGTAAAAATAAGACAATAGAATGAATGTGAATATAATATATATATTGAATATTTATAAATTACTTATAAAAAATTTAATTTGTATAGATTATGTCACAGATATAGTTTATTCAAGATTCATGACTTTAACATTCTGCGTATATCTAAGCAATGTATGATATATAACTTATTATTACCTTCCATGTTTATAATTTATATGAAAGTATCATGCTCATATTTTTACATTTAGTATCAAGTATCAATTTTTTTTAGTATCAATATAATTTATTGAAAATTTTGTTATATTGTTGTTTGCCCAAACATTTATTGAATTTGGTGTTTGATATAATATAAATTTTTTTATTTTATTTTTTAGTTATTAATATTTATCCTTTTTTTATGTATTGGTTATTCGTTATAAATATTATTATTATTTATTCTTATACTTAAAAATTATAATACTTTAAAAGTAGTTTTTAAAATGAGTTAATATGAGTTAATAAAATGAGTAAAATGTGTAATGAGACTACAGTTTTGACAAGATACTATAAAATTAACTAAAGATCTGTACACTATTATATAATCGTATATTTCTATGAATTCTAGAATACAGAAATATAAAATGTCTGTATCTTTACTTTCACATAATTAAGTTTAAACCTGATGCTGTAAATGTTGAGATGTTTTTATTGTTTCATACTCAAATAAAAAAATATGAGAACACATTAAGTTCTTTCAGCCAAACTTTTTTTGCGCTAGTGTAACTCGTAAGGCCACTTGAATCTGTTAGAGCATACAAACTAAATTATTTGATCTGAAAATTTATAGATAGCATAAATATAAGACACAAATTGAATAGGTTAATAGAGATAAGTTTCTGACATTTGAATTTCGGAATCCAGTGAAAACTGAAAATTTTAAACAGCATGTAGTATATCATTTATCAAGATTTGAAAATTTGGAATGATTATGGATTGAACATAAATCCTCAAAAATAAGATATGAGATCAAGAATATTAATGTGGACATGAAAAATTTTGAGAACTATTAAAAGGCCACCAAGAATTAATAAGAATTCCCAAAAATCAAACGGTATGATAACGACTGTTTTAGAAATATTATTAAGGAAAGTTTTTCGTTAAAATTTGGCCGCATTATCATCTTCAATATATGGAGTCTAGTAGTAATTAAAGATTTTATGGCGGGATATTAATGATCATAATCTTTATCGTTCATATTTTAAAACATTTTTTTAAAGTTTTAGTTTTAAAACATTATCAGACTTCCACTTTTTTTTTTAGCAAAAAAACACCCATCATTATAATGTTTAAGGTGAGCTATTTTATCTTTTAACTATCAATGGAACAGAATAAATCATAACCAAGTTTCTTAATCGGGCAATTATCAGGATCTAATATAATCCGGATTATAGACACTGTGACTAGCAGTTTTGTAAAAAAGGGCTATGTATATTCGTAAAAGTAATTTTCCATTTGATTTGATGTAATAGTAATGATTTGCTTTAATTGTTCTGCATATCAAGAGTGTAAATATGGTATTGATTAATAATCTGATTTTTATTTATATTGCGCATCTATAGTGGAATGTATCTGTTTACTGAAAAATCGCATTACCAGCTTAATAATTAATAATAAAATTTCTATCCCATTTACTTAATTTTATTTCTTATTTATTTGAAGTAGACAAATTGCGACATTTATGATGTCGCTTCATAGTACTTGCAGATACAACTAATGAAATAAACACATTATTGAATAAGTAAATTATACCTTAAAAACACTAAAAACATTTTTTGTATTTATCAAATCTATAAATTATTCAGTGTTTGCTTTTTGTTTTTCAATCCTCGAATATTATATATTTATATTCTTTATCACAATTAATATTTGTTTTTAATTTTTATATTATAAATGAATGGTATTTTTTGTAGAATTGTAAATTGATAAAATATCGATAATTATCTAATTTGGCAAAATACTAACTACTATTCCATATTAATCAGACTCCAACCACTTAATTAAATTATAAATATACTTACGAATATATTGCTCAGATAAAAAAGCATTGAAAATTTTCTATTTTCATTTATTAACCATAAAAATTATTTATTAAATATTTTACTAAGTACCTTATGATTCTATCAAATATTTTATAAAAAAAATATGACACATCATTATTATAAATATACATTTTTAATAATGTATTGGATATTAAAAATAATATATAATGTATGATATAAATGTAGTAAAAATATACTTCTATTTAAATTTAAAAAATTTGAATAATGCTATAATTATTTTAGAGAAAATCACAACAAAAAAATTGTCCGATAGAACAAATTGGAACATATGATAAATCGACAAATGTCCACAATGAAAAGCTTATAGCTTTTAACTATGAAAGAGTTCAACATTGGATTGGACAAGGATCAAAAATTTCTCAACCATTTCTTGAATTATTAGGACTTGCTGGAATGCTACCTATTCATCCAAAAACTTATATCAATGCTTGGAGAAATCGAACATCTGAAAAAAAAGAATGATATATATGATATATTTCAATATATTAAAAAATATTTGTTTAAAATAATTAAAAATTTTTCATGACTATTTTATTTAACTAATGTTAAAAAATAGTACATAAAAAATATGGAATACAAAATTGTAAAATTAAAACCTATAATTACAAATATTTTATGAAAATATCTAAATATTGTCTTATTCTGAATAGCGGTATTTAATTTTATTTACCTATAAAAAAAATCGTATTAAGGTATAAAAAATATAATTTTAATTTAATTTTTCATGTTTTTATAGTAAACATAATATATATTTATAAGTTACTGAACATTTTATTCAAATGGATTATATTTCAATATTATTTTATTAATAATTTAATGTGTCGTGTACAGTATTGATACATGTATATTTTTTATTAAGTTTAAGTATACTTTTAACTTGAAATATACTTGACTACAATTTGATGCACGGTAAGATTAAAAAGCAAGTAAAACAGTTGTGCTATATTCTGAATTTATTCAAAAGGACACCATTTAGATGAATCAGTTTCACTACCACGAGAGTGGATGAAAATTTAGTTAAAAATTATAACTATTATTTGAAATTAAAAGAACCTACTATTTTGTGAATAACTTATAAATTATTTTCAAGAATTTATTGTGATAAGTAGTGAGATTTACAGAAATTTACAATATATTAACAAAAAAAATTATTAATATATTTTAAAAATAGATAAAACTGATTTTATAGATTATTTATATTGCAAATATAAAATCTATGGCAAATATCTATTTCTCCATTAGCATATCTCAATTTTTTTTCATTAATCCAATGTTTCTTTAAAAAAATTTCAAATATTTTAAACTTCTAAATTGAAATGAAAAATCACTGTATTGAATTTTTAAATTTGAATATTCTAGTTTCTAAAAAAACAAATACTCTAACATAAATGTTACAATTTAAATAAAGAAAATATAAAATACCTAAATGAATTATGCATAAACAATACACAATAGTATATAGTTTATTATTATAAATATTACATATTATATATATAAATATTAAATAGTAAATAGTATATAATAATATAGTTAAATAAATAAAAAATACAATTAATATGAAAAAAGAATTATTTGTTTACTGAATTTTATACTGGAAATACGTTTAAAATAACATGATTAATATTTATTTATATAAAAATATTAGTAATTTAATTATTAAAAGAAAATATATATTAATTCAATTTGAATCAAGTAACATAATGAAATGTAACTCTTTAATATCGTTTTAAACGCACATCTTAATATCAAACAAATTATTTCTTTTCTTGCTTAAAAAAATAAAACTAAGTATGTATATATATAAATTATATTAATACACATTTTTATAGGAAAATAAAAATATATTTATTCAAATTATGTATTTAATAAATTAATAGTGTATTGTATGTTGTATAAATTGTATAAAGGTAATATTGTACAATAGCATACAGAAATGCCATACGTTTATAATAATAAGTTTAAATCTGGTTTTTGCGTATTTCAAATTAATTACTTGCAGTTTCAAATTTTGGAAATAAACTATAAATCAATCATGAAACCAGATGATTTAGTAAAAGTTGGAACTATAAGCAATTATTCCTGAAATACAAATATTACAACAATAAACATGATGGTATATCGTTGTATATGGCATATATAATTTGAACAGCATAATGTACACAAAAATACGGCGACACCACCAAGTCGGTAGTAGTATTTTCTTTTTTAGAAAATTTCCAATAATCTTATATGGCAGTTTACTTACAAAATAAAAACTTAATACAAGTTAGTAAAAAGAGAAATATAAAACAAAAGTAATTAGATAGTTTGAATACAAATTCTTTATTTATTGTTTTATTAATATAGTTTAGTGTAATATATTGCAACACACGTAAAAGTGAATAACTAAATATCAGTATCAAAATAAGGTGTTGAGAAAATGAAAAGAAGAAATTCAGTCGAAAATGTAAAAATTGAAAGATATTCAATTAAAAATAATAAGAATAATCATTTTTTTAAATATAAGAGATGCAGTATCTGAAAGAAAGAGAAAGTACTCAAGTGTCAATGTAGAAAGAAATAAAGCAAGCAAGTGAACATTTTTCTAGGTAAGTTATATTTCAATAAGACTGTATTACGTTATTCTATGTTTTTTATTGTATGAACTCTGTTTATTTTAATACACTATAAGAAGAAATCTGGTCCCAAACCAAAGGCTTTGTGGCTGATTATCGAATATCGTTTTGATGTAATGGCAACTTATATTGAAAAATTGCAATTATTTATATAAAAATTTATGAAAATGTATTCATAAATAAAATCTGTATGAATTAATTTAGTTATCACATATATTATAATCTATTTTAGTATTATTTCCGGAAGTTTAAATAAAATATTTTGATAAAAAAACGTTCAATAATTTAATATACTATAAATAAAATGTTTAATATTTATATTTCTTACTTTATTTTAAATGCAATATACAGAACTTCTATTAATAATTAAAAAATTTTAAGTTTGAAGTACAATATTTCTTAATTAAGCTATTCAACAGTAAGCCGATCATGCGCATTAAATTTACATGATGTAATTAATAATTTTTAAATTGCTTTAAATTTTATTTATTAATTGAAAATTAGTGTTTGTATTTATAAACATTAATTTCATATTCATTTATTTATATATTAATGTATATATTAAATTACTAGTTTTTAAAATGTTTTAAAATTTTGTGAAGAACCTACATTTGCCTTTATGATACTTCGAAAATATAAATATTTGTTTATTTTATTAATTTAATCTTTGAAATAATTGCAATTTTTGTACAATTAGTTTCACAATAAAAAAAAACAATCTGAAGCCTTCGAATTGTAGTTCTATTATATTTTATTTTTTTTACTAGAGTGTACGTATGGAAAAATATGTTATTTATTTAAAAAGTAATAATACTGTTATGTTAAAAAAAGTATTTATTTTTTTTATAAAATAATATATGAATAGAATTCCTTACTATTCTGTTGAATCTGGTATTTTCCAAACAATTTCATATTTATACGTACGATTTATATTAATATTTATTAAAAATAAAATACGAGCAGACGAAATAAATGTATTTTTTTTCAAGTTACATAAGGAGCAGAATAAATACAATTGTTATGTGATATTTAATAAAAAAATCTAATATTAATTATAATTCGTTCCAAACTATTAACTAACCTTGAGAACATTTTTGTATTATTAGTAGATCTTAACACGTGCTTGTATCATAAATTTATGTTGCAGTAAAGAAAAGTAAAAAATCTACGATATGGCTGATAAAAATGATTCCGAGAAAACTATTGCTGAAGATTTAGTAGTTACAAAATATAAAATGGCAGGCGATATTGTGAATCGTAAGAATATTTTGACTATATTCTATTATTTTTAGATAATTTTTAAAATATAAATCAATGTAATATTAGTTTTATCTAAAATTTATTAATAAAATTTTCAGTTTTCGTTTAAAAATATTTATTAATTAGATAAATTATAAAAGTTTATTTAAATGTTTTACATTAGTGGTAAACTCATTTTATATATATACACAAATAATTTATTAAAATTATTAAAAAACTCTTACGCTCTGTTCAACATATTTTATTATTTTAAATGAAAATAAATTATCACTTTTATGTGTAAAATTGAATAGTATGTACTATACTAATATACCTTTGGTTATTATTTCACAACGAAAATATTATGTTTGTATATATATTAAAAATTAAAGCTTATATTATTTTTAATTTATTTAAAATTAAATATTTATCATTAATTTATGGATTTCTAAATTTATTATTGTACTTATATAAAATATTAATGAATAATGATGTTTTATTATTGTTTTATGTAGTTATTAAAGTAGATTCACAAATTAAAAACATTTACTCATAGTCAATGTTTATAACAATTATTAATCAGTATTTTTTTAATGCTATTGAGTAGAAAGTATTTTATAATTTAATATGATGATTTAACTTGTTAATATTCAGGTATAAAATTAATTCAATAATTTTTTTAGTAATATATATGTTTGTAAGTGTGTATGCATATATATGATTGCATATACATGTGTGTTAAAATATTGAGAAGCATTATTTTTGTTCAACTATTGATTAATAAAATATTGTTAGTGTCAATAAATAAAATGAAGATGGTAAAAAATTAATTTATCTGATGCTTTTTGATTTTTGAAGCATTTAGTATTTCATCAAATCAATAATAAATCCTTGTTATTTTTAACTATTATTTATTCTTTGTACCTCGTTTCCTATTTTATGTCATATTCTATGAATTCAGCGATATTTTGTAAAGTGAGCAGAAGAACATTTATTTATTTACAGCTTTTTTCTACTATTTTTGTATGGGAGCAACACTTCCAAAAAAACCTAAAACAATCAAAATTTAGAAAATATTGTACAATGAAAAATATTAAATCTATAAAATGATAATTGCATGTTTTGTCGTCATTTGGGAATAGAGATGATTGTTGAATAATTTTAAAACTATAATAAATAAAAGGCTTTTAAATTAAGATTATTGGTATTTAAGAAGTTACAGGACCTCTTTGAAAATTTTATATTAAAACATAAAATACTTATTTTCATAATTATCTTTTTATTATATTTATATAAGTATAACCAATGTAATTTAGTATAATATAATTGCCAATATCAAATAAAAAGTACTTTCTGTTATATCTCTACAAATATTCTTAAAGTAAACCTTTGAAATATGAATGTAAATAATATTTTACAAATAATAAGTTTACATTTTTAAGTTAAAATCACAAGCAATATATTTATAAATAACAACAACCAGATAAATTTTATATACAAAACCTAGCACTTACTTTTTAAAGATTTTGAACAAACTAAAGCTGTATTTGAATATTTATTATTTTTATACATACATGATATAATTGTCTATAGTTAAAGGTTGGTAATAACTGAGTTTGTTTTTACTAATTTTTCTTATTAATTACAACTAATCATAAGGCATTAATTTTTTTAAAATTTCATTGTTTAATGGATTTTGAAAAGCTCAACAATCATAACCACCAATATACAACTATAAATTAATTATTAGGTATATACAGAATCCATTTAGTAGATTTATTTAGCACATTTGTCCATAATTAGTAAATTGACCAATTCATAATTATAACGTTATTGTTTATAGTTAATTATAAAAAATTTTATAACTTCAAAATTTTAATGTGATTTTTTAAAAATAATGATAATTCAATATTTAATTTGAATATTCTTTTTAATACAGTAACAACTAATAAAAAATAAAACATGGTTGCAAAAAATTAATAATGCCAAGCTTTTTGAATCTGTTGAATATTGCTGTCTAAAACATATTCAAACAAGATGTGCAAAAATTTATAATAATTTATAATCCAATTGACGTGTTTGTTTCAATAGTTTATATGAGGTTAAAATGTGACCATACACATTTATTTGTATTTGATATTATTTATTATGTTACATTATTAATTTAATAATAATTTTTAATTATAATTTTTACATTTTCAGTTTTACAGGTGGAAAGAATTAATATGAAAATATTAAGCAAATAACAAATAAACAATTTGAATGATAATTAATCTTATCAATTAAAGATGTATTAAAAGTATTAATTTTTTATAACTATTTCATATAAATAAATTATTTTTATTTTATATCGACAAATAAAAATATGCATTTAGTTAATCTTTAATTAATGTCAAACATTATATTAATTTAGATAGGAAGAGTTGTTTATTTTTTTAATTTATTGTTTAAGAGAATCGGAAGTTATATAACTAAACTAAATAATATTGAAGTTTCCCTGTTTTATCATTCATTTTAACATTTATAAATTTTTCAAGAGTTTGTTGTTTTGTCAATATGTTTTTATAACCTAACACTATACATGTATTTGATCTAACTAGATAACACCTTTTTCATTTTATCATATATATCATAAATGATAAGATATAATATTAAAATTTTATGGTTCATTACAAAATATCTTTTTAATTTCATCCTACAGTAATATTCATTACATTGAATTGGTAAAGTCGCAATTATCTTACTATAAAATAGTTTTTTAAGCATATTCAAATAAAGTTTTCAAATTCCAGTATAGTTTAGCATTCTAAAATACTTTTTGAAATTTTGTTTATTACTCTATTTTCAAAAGTTAATTTTATCATCGTGAATTAATGTGACTTATTTAATTTAAACATGATGAGAAATATATATAGTCATAATATTGTGTACAAAATTAATTTTGTTCATAGGATTATATTATAATAATATTACTTAATAATGTTACTTGGTTTTAAGTTACAAATATCTTAAAAAATATTTTATATTATTAATTTATAATATTTTTAGTAATATAAATATTTAATTATATTTATAGGAGTTTTAAAAGAAATTTTACAAACATGTTCTGCTGGTGCTTCAGTAAGAGAAATTTGTGAATATGGTGATAAACTTTTAATCGAAGAAACTAGTAAAGTTTTTAAAAAAGAAAAGGATTTAAAGAAAGGTATAGCTTTTCCAACATGTATATCAGTAAATAATTGTATATGTCACTTTTCTCCTATTACTAGTGAACCTGATTTATTTTTACAAATTGAAGATATAGTAAAAATGTAAGTATTATATATTTTATAATTTGGACTAGTAACATTAAATTAACTATATTATTAATTAGTTTTGGAATATTTAATTGTATTTTATTCAAATAAAAGAATAAGCATTTATTAATAAAATAAATGATAAATTGAATTGAGCAAAAGTGAGAAAGAAAAACGATAGAGACAGAGAGAGAGAGAGAGAAATATAAGGATAGAAGAAAGATAATATGTAATCATATGTAAAAATCTATATGCGTAAAAGCACTGACTTGATTTCATCAGCAACAAAATTGTATAGTATGTGAAATCCTTAAGTATATGTAAGTTTAATAGCACATCATCAGTTTTGTGTACTGTTTATAATTCAATTCTGTTTACCAATATATACGTGATGTAAGTTCTAAGTTTATATTCAATTAACTTTAAATTGATTTTACTATTTTCACCAAATATCGTTGTTTCTGTTAACACTTTTAATACTTTTAACAAATTGATTGATTTTCTATTTGAACAGTTAGTAAATTATGAGTCTTTAGATAAAAAAGGGTTGATGTATTTAATAACACTATTCATGGGTATTAAAAATTCCTTTCAAAGGATAATTTTCTCTTAAGAGAAATCTAGAAAGGTTGAACAATTGTTGCTTACTTGCTTCGTATTGAATTTTTTTATAAATTTTGTATATAAAATTTATTACGTATCTAACAAATAATTTTAAGAAGCTAGAAATATGCTACTGTAATTTTCTTATAATAATTTATTTTGAGTAATTATAATGGTTTGAGTGCTCAAGTCTGTGAAGGCTAGATTTAAAAACTGGTTAGATCCTATTTAATAGAATATAATACGTTGCATTTGACATTTTAGATATTTAGAAATTATTATTTGTACTATTACATCAAAAGTAGAATAATATAGTATATTTTAATGGATTATATATATTTTTAATTATTCTTGTAGAAGAAATTTATGTCTTATTTTAATATTACAATTTTTATTTTACCAATAAGTGATTAAATATTTTTTCTTTTTCGAAACATTTCAAGCAGTGCTTTATAATGATCGCAGATCATGGTGGGTGGATTAGACCGTACCACCGGTTTAATGATGGGGGGGGGGGGGTAATGCATCAATTCAGAGTAAACACAATTGGTTTTAGTGACCTTTATTTAAGTAGTTGTTACAGTAATATTGATGTTGTTAATTATAGTGAGAATCATTGATTGTAGTAACTAGGCAGCTCGAAACATCGACTGGGAGTGCAAGCCTCGTAAGGTATCACGGGAGTACTAATTACGGGTTCTAGCTTATAAATCAATGGAGCCTTTCTTGTTCGATAGTTATGTGCCGTGTGAGGCAAGCTTGAATTATACTGGACATTATCCGGCTCGCGGATGCTTAGACGCTTAAGTCGACGTTCGAATCGTACTAAGCGAGATTCGGCTTGTGGCGGTGGTGGGAATAATTACGAATAGTTGTCGCCCTCTTTTGTGGTTTGATCAGAACCACTTGTTGTGGCGTGACCGGCAATGTCTCGCATTGTTAATGAGAAATAGGCTTGGGTCTACTAATAAATAGGATAAGGTAGACGTAGGCCGCGAACGGTCACGAGAAATCGGCGAGGGGTCACGAAAAGTGTAAGTAATATGCTGGAGATGTCAGTCTATGTCGTCGTCCTCAATGCGGCCTGACTAGCGTCACGTTGCGGAGGATGCACCGATAGCTGACTAGCAATAATAATAATCGAATAATCAATATATATAATAAATATACATTGCACGAAATCCCTCAGACGAGTTTGACTATCACAGATATGACTGGCATTAGTTTCTCTTAAGTAATTCAACAAGACTGATTTTCTTCTCCGTTCGTTGCTTCTTAAATACGATTGCGTACATTTGGTGTTATAAATTCTTGGAGGCTTTAGTGAATTCTCTGGAAGCTAGCTTTGATATATTCGAGAAGCTTCTTTTATTGCTATCCGGACAAAGTGCGCGGCTAAATTTCGAGTGAATTTTTGTAACGTATAATTCAAATATTGCGCCTTAATCTAAATATAATGTATCGGAATCGTATTATAACAAATAATAAATTGTTATTTTTTGTTGGGTGGTTCAATCCTGAACAATGTTATAAAAATAATAACCAATAAAATTGAAAATATTGAAAAATTGATACGTCTCAAAATAATGATTTTAGTACAATTTAATATGCAAGTTCATACTATTCGGAAAAGGTTTAGAATTACATGACAAAAACTTATGAAATAAATAAGATAGAAAAAACATATTACTTAAAGGAGAACAAACATTCATTTTTAATGGTATATGAGGATAAAGAGTATCTCAATTGTAGATTGAGTTTAGATGCAACATACGTGCAGTGCTTTGTAGCCTTACTAAAGCAAATTAAGTTTATTAATTTCATGAAGTAGCTAAGAGCTACTTCAATATTTTTGCAACTCAAAGCGTTTGCTATATGAATCAAAACCTTGAATTAAGTAGAAAAAATATTACTTTCTAGCCATATGAACTAAAATCATTTAAAAAAAAAACTTAAAAACCACAAGCTATATATCGACTAGTATAGGACTATCATAAATGACATTTTACCTTATAAATGATAATTTTAAATATAAAGAATATTAGATAAACTTTTGAACCTAAAATTAATGAAGATAGAAGAGTGTTATAATCAGAAAAATCTAGAGGTAAGAAGGTTATGTTAGTCATACTGAAATTGCTGTTGACAAAGGTGATGGAACTTAATTAAATATAACAATTAGAATTCCTCACAAAATAGTGGGGTATTAGTTATGACCAGCATACGTCGTTAATGAAAATAAATTTAGATATGTGAACTAACATGTCGAATATGTTTCAAACTAATAGGTAAATAAGAATTAGATCAAGTAATGAAGAAACGTTTTAAAATTATTCATTGCTAATGTGTTCCGATGTAAATATATTTACTAAAGTTACTGTTCGAGAATGCGAGAACATTTTTCCCTTTTTTGTTAGTGCAAAAAAACATCTGGCAAGTAACATCGTAAAATTTGTATTTGGATTGCAAAACTTCGCTTGCTCAAAATTATCAAGTACTAGTGTCATAAAACATCTGGAAAAACAATACCATAAACACGGGAAAACCTATAGTTTAGACATCTGCATTTTCGTTCCGCTCGGTAGCTACATCAAGCATTACTGCATGCGGACCTTCCTTCCCTTCCCGCTGTCAACAAGTTGTAATACTGTCATCAGATGTGTCTGCGATGCCCCCCCTTTCCGCTGCCTACTTGCTGTCGCATGCGGCAGTAGCAATGAGAGATCTGCTCATCATGAAGACCCAAAGACGACTAGGCTTTTAATTAACTCCGAAGCCAAAAGAGGCGCTGCCCTCGCACTATAAGAGAGGAGTCTCTGATTGGACAAAAAATAAGGGAAGGGGTTCACGTCAAATTCATGGTCAGCAAATGTATGTAAGGAGCGCAATTTTTAATACTTATTTACTCTTGATACTTATCACTCGTGATATTTAACTGTCTTGATATTTACTCTTGATAGTGTTCTTTAGTAGTACTACTCTTTTTTGAAGTGTCTCTCTTTTTTTGATATCTCTCGTTCAGTAATACTCTCTCAATATATTAAACCCTTGAGACATTTCATACTCAGTTAAATTTAGTGAAAGTCGATTTAACTCTATTGCGGGAAACGACTTACACTTCTTCAGATTGTCCATTAACACTGGTACTGGAACAGTAGTTACAAGCCCCGGAAGAACGACGACATAAGCCCGTATGTCCACTAACGCAGTTCAAGAAACCGTCGTTACATCTTCCAAGGGAGCTATAACAATCCGCCTATCAGAGTCCGAAGACGAGTCAACGATTAGTCTTTGTAAGTAGTATCTACTACAATAATTACATATATATTGAGATTCAGAGTATTACATGGACAAGCACTAAGGACGAGGAAGCTACTCTTAAAACGACAGTGCGGAATAAATTCTAGTACGCCTCGTCAAGTTTCGCGCCCGCCAGGGGCGTCTCATTTTTAGCAACCCTCACCTTAGTTCACGTTCGGAAGCTTATGAAAGTAAGCAAAACCCAGCGCAAGTGTCGACAATCCAGTTTCGCGCCACTTTGCGATATCTTTCAATCATAAAGCTGCATTCATAACCTCAACCACACAAATTCCAGTACGCGTCAAGTTTCGCGCCCGCCAGGGGCGTCTCATTTAGTAACTCTCACCTTAGTTCAAGTTCGGAAGCTTACGGAAGTAAGCAAAACCCAGCGCAAGTGTCAACAATCCAGTTTCGCGCCACTTTGCGATATCTTTCAATCATAAAGCTGCATTCATAACCTCAACCACACACGTGCTCGTTCAAAAGGCGCTAGTGTCGACGAACGAAATTCCGCCCCGTTCGACATCCGTATTTAACAATCAAGCTGCATAGATTACTGTACGTTTGCCTCCGCAACACATGACTTCAACCGAAGAGTTAATCTATACTAAATAATAGTAATACTAGTCAACCTTGTCATTAATAAGTAACAGAATAAAAAGCATATACTTCAGCCATATCTTTATTGTATTATTATAATATCCCTTCCACTTGTGACCTTTCATCGCTACCACACAACATCCGTGCTCTCTGAGTTGTCAGCGGCATCAAATTGTATCCGTCGAACCGGCCTTGATAAAACAAGTCAGAAAGACGAGTTGCATTTTGTACAGATACTAGGAATCTCATATTATTTCCAAAACTTACTAAAATAACTAAATTCAGATTAAAGACAAAATAATTATATTTATCTTATGCATTGAAAATGTTGAATGTAGTCTATAATCCAAAGCAGTATTAATTAGCAGGTATTAAACATACCAAATATAGGTCAAGTATTTTTATTGTGTCAAAAGCTTATAAACATGCGAATATTGAAAAAGAGTTTAGCAATTATGACAGGAATATCTAAATAATAAAGAGAAGGGAGTATATTGCAAAGGAAGGGCAATAGTATTGAGCTACAATTTTCACAGTCCCTAAAATACTTTTAGTATCACGAGCAGTATCATATCCCGAGATTAAGAATAAAATAGAATCGAACAAATATAAAATCAACCTAATCGTAAACCTATAAAGCAAAGGATTAGGAATTGAGCGATCAGTAAATGAGCGTCGCATAAACAATATCAGAGCAATGTAAAGTCCAAAGATATTGTAGAAAGTGTTACAATCCGCCCGCCTGCAAATTGAAAACACCTACAAAAATATTTATGTATAAATAGATGAAAAGGGAGAGTTTGCATAATAAAAAATGACAAACTTTTTTTTTAAGAACAGAATTAAAAAAGAAATAAATCATTAAAAAAATCAGACTAAAAAAGGATAGTTTTAACGTTTCAGCTCTTTAGTTTCTCGTACTCGGATATCATGATAAAGTCATAAAATGAAATGATCTAAAGAAAGCATAAAACTGATATTTTGTTTAGAAATCAAACCCCAAGAAATCCTGATTATCTAACAAATTTTATTGAAAGCGATCAAGATTAAACTAATCAAATTATCAATTCTAAACATTTCTAGGAATAGTATAGTAATATAGAATATTGCTTTTAAATTAAGCAATGTTTGTTGTACTACTCTTAAGTAAGAAAAATGTTAAGAAATAGATCGTTAGTATCTGTGTTGAACCTATGAAATGCCTTTATATTCATGATGTACCAGTCTTTTAAGAACAAATCAATTATTAATACTGAAATATAAAAGTAAAAATAAATTACATTTAAATAACTACCATTTAGAATATACAGGTGAATTAATTTAATGACCAATTCATAATGAAAAAACAAAAATAATTATTTGATTATTGACCCACATGTTTAAAGTAAATAGTTACTAACGAAAATGATAATTTAGTTAACAGAAGATAAATAATAATTGACTATATATAGTTCAATACAAAGATCTTTTTTTAAATCAATTTTATCTAATATCATCCATGAGAATACTTCGATGAATAATTAATTTGAAAACTTACAATTGCATAAAGAATTGGTTAAAATAGTTGTTGATAATTATATATCAAATTTACTAGAAATGTACGTATATAGAAAAAATAAAATTGTTGAAATAATTTTAAGTTAATACTGTATTATATTGTAAAAACTGTACGATACGTAAGTTACGATAAGTAATATTACATCCGAAAGTTAAAAAAATCGGTAATGATTATTTGCTAATTTTTTAATAAAACGTGTAAATATAATACACAAATTTAAATAAAGTTGAATGTCAAGTTATAGAAATCAATACATGCTATAATTTGACATTTATTTTAGTTCTCAACCTTCATTTTTTTTATTAAAAAAAAAATTATTTATTCTTAATAAAAGGTAATACGAGTAGGAAATTAAAATTAAATTATATTGTTTAAGTTGATCAGTAATTACCTCGCATTATATCAAGAGGAAAATCAATAAGGCGAATAAAAGTGGTTGTTGTCTAAAAATAGAGTACCTGGCTAGGAGGGCCACAGATCTAGAGTTAGGTATAAACTCCCAGATGGTGGAAGGGAAGATTGCGGGCAAGTGGACGGGATAGTGCATGTATTTAATAATAAATGGATTTGGTATTTGTTTTAGTTTATTGCGATAATTGCATTATTTGTATCATAATGATTTTTAGTTTATGCTTGAATGCCTTCGTTTCTTGAGTTTTGTATTGCTATTGACATAGAGCTGTAATGTGCGTTGCATGTACAGGTAGAAGGGCGTAGCCTTCTGGTCCTCTATATGTAATGCACGTGGTGGTGGTGTTATACACGTAGAAGAACAAGGCCGTAAACCCCCGTGCTTTCTTTTGCAGTGGCACGTGGTAGTAGCTTGAATTTGCCTTGGTATTGTCTTATTGCTTACGTTGAAAGCTCTGCAGGTGCGCTTTTGGTGGCACTTCATCTTAGTCTGCAGATATTGCTGCGTACGGCGCCTCGTAAGTCTTTCTTGTGGGAGCTAAACTTGCCCCTTATGTGCTTGCAGATTGTGTGAGCTTGGTCGCTCTACAGTTCGTTACCTTGTTATTTGGCGTTCCCTTGGAGAAGCAGCCTTGCCGGCTTCTCTTGTGACAAGAGACTTTTTGCGCCTTGCTGGCGTCTTTCTTGAAGGCATTCTCTCGGCCACCGCGTGGTTTTCCTGCTTTTTGGCGTTTCCAATCAGAGCGCCTCTTTTTGGGCGTCTTCAATCGAATTGATCATTTCATTATTGACGGCTCCAATCCGAGCGCTTCTTACTTGCAGTCCCACCATGAGAGGGGGACTTCTTTGGCACGTTCTCGCTTCACTATCCGAGCCACATGTAGCTGGATTTGACAACAGCGTATGCGTGCAGTGTTGCCTTTAATATCTCTTTTTTCGGATGTAAGACGAGGTGGTTGTTGCTTATATTTTTATGACTTGATTATGCCAGAAGTTTTATGACTTGTTTTGCTGGACACTTGGAACCTTGTTCTCGCCAGATGTGTCTATGAATTGTATTTTCTTTAGATATTCCAAGTTTTACTGAATTGTTTAGATTTAGTTAATCCGAGGCGCGTTTTGAATGTTATTTCTCGAGTGGTCGAGAGTTCGCCCTTTTCGGAACTCGTATCTCGAATTTTCCAGATGTTTAATGAGCTGGGAGTTTTCTTACATTCTTGAACAGTTAATTTATTACAATATACTTATCTCAACGAACTTACTTCAATGTCAACCACTAACACTTATAGCACTAACTTTAATTTAATTGCTAAATTGTAGAATGATTATAAGTTTTTCTGTCAAATTTAATAAAATAAAAACAGGCATTTTGGATTATCAGTAAACAAATAAATTATATAGTTCGTTTTAAGAAAGTTTAATTTCAATTTTATGCACTGAGCAGATTTTGAATTAGAAAAAGAATATAATAAATATAAATATGATAATGTCCTTCAATTGAATGAATGAATGAATCTTCAATTAACACTAATGAGTGGTCATATCATTATATATAAAAACTCGTTCAATATTCAATAAGCTTGAATATAAATCTTATAAGATAAATCTAATACTATCTAATTTTACATAAACTAAAAAGTGAAATGCAAGGATTATATGAAATTAAAATTACAAGAGGTTTTAATCAAATTTACAAACAAACAACTGAAATCATTTTGAACGTTACTTAAAATAACTTTTTGATATCGATGATGTTAAATGATGTTGACTGTTAATATCTTATGTTAAATGAGAAAATTATCAGATTATCACATAACTTCATTATTATTTTAATATTTATGTCTTCTAAATAATAACTGACTACATTTAAAAATAGATGTATAAATTGTTATCGATCTGCACTTGAATTTCGAAACTACTCAAACTTTCTCAATACATTTTTTAAACGCTACATAGTATACGTGAGCCTTTCTATATATAATCAAATCTGCTAATTTTTTTAATTATAGTAAGAAAGCAATGTTACTTGATATATATGATATATATGAATGGATCTTTAGAAGAAAATAATTGACGACAGTATCTAAAGAAATTAATCTATCTTTACAATCGGATATACAAAAAATAAATTTGAAGTCTATGCATTTATCACGTAAATCATGACTACAATAATATTGTAAATGGCAGTCTAATTATTGTTAAACTTTTTTTGTTTTGTTATGCTTCTTTTATTCTGTATGATATTTTAGTGAAAATACAGACAATAATACTGATTAAATCAATATAAATTAAATCAAATTATACTTCAATTCAAATTCAATTAAATGAACTTTTAATTTTATTCATAGTCTAAATACATAATATAATTAATATTATTTTTCTTAATCTGATTATAAAAAAAATTAACATCTTAAATGTTTTTAAAAATCATTTATAAAATTTATATTCTGTATTAGTGATTTAGGTGCACATATAGACGGATTTATCGCAGTTGTGGCCCATACAATAGTTGTTAAGTCTTCGCCTGAAATGGTAGTTCAAGGACGAAAATCCGATGTAATTTTAGCTGCTTATTATGCTTCACAAGCAGCACTGAGGCTTCTTAAGCCAGGAATTGAGGTTAGTTTTATTTTAATTAAATAAATAATTATAAAATAAAAATGAAATATATATAATTATTGCTTAAATGTGTACAGTTATTACTGTAAACAAATCAGAAATTTGTAAATATTAATGTGAATGAGCATATGGAAATTATCTTTTATATAAAATATAAGATAGTTTTTGCGTGTCTGCATCCATATGAATATATTATCAATTTATAGTAAGAAAATAAACATGGTAATAATAGGCTTTTTAAAATTTTCAAAGTATCTTTAGCCTTATAAACCTTGATATCTTAAACATTTTTATCTATGTATTTTTTATACAGTTGCATATTTGTTTAGAGAAAATATATTTTTTACCTTGCGAGAAGAAAAGTAATATCTTGTTTTTGTATTCTATAAAGAATAATTATAACTTAAATAGTGGATTTCTAGCATTATGAATGGAATTGCCAATAAATACTGTTTTTTTTTATTAATTTTTTATTCTGAATTTGTGTTAATTAAATAAAATATGTGAAAGTGATCAAATGTACAGGAATAATAAAAAATCTATTTATTTATGAAAATTTCTTTCTCTTAAAATAATAATATAGTTCACAAAATTATAAATATTATATATTTTTACTTAATAATCTACACACTGTAACAACTTAAACATTGATATCTTTTAATATTTAGGGATGATCTGTGGATTTGAAAAAAAAACCCACAACATTCGACCAGGGTTTCCATCCCTGGAGATACACTATAGATTATGGTATTTTAATTAATCTGCAGATCATATTACAACATGCTAAAATGGTTGAATTGTATTCTTACAAACAATTAAATACTGAGTGCAACTCTGAATATACTGTAAAATCAAATTTAAGTTATCTTTTTTCAGTCACTATGGTTTCTTCATCGTTTTTCCAAATTTTCCTTTGATTTCGATAAATTAAAAAGTATTAAATTATCGTATTACAAATATTTAATTGAAATAATAAATTATTTCAAAATATTTCTTAAACAATTTAAAATTGAATTTGAGAACCAATAGTAATTAATTTATACAATAGCTATTTTAGAATGTATACTAAAAACAATTTTCTTATATCCATATATTCATTTCAAAATGTAAACAATGTATTTTACTGTTTCTATTTAAAATAATTGAACTCTAGGTTATTAAATAATAAATACTAAACGTATCATGAATACTAAGACATTGTTTAAATTTGGATATATTATATATAAATCTTTGCATCTGTTTAGATAAAACTATAAATGCACTTTAGAAGCTTCTATTTTTCAGCTTAAATTATATAATTTGTATGAATCATTTTGAATTTAAAATGGTGTAACTTATATAATGTATTATTCTAAAAATCACCTTTGTTAATTTAGATAAATTTAATTCTTTAGAATTCTCTATAATAAATATAAAAATGGATTCTTACACTCGAATGTAAATTAGTAAATATATGTTATGAAATGAATTGAAAGTTTTAGTGAGTTGTGCAATCAACCTTTCATTCGCGACTATATATATTTTCTTGTAAATAATTCTACTTTTAAATAATTTATCGGTTGACACAGTATTTTAATAATAATATTATTTACGTAATATTACTTAAAACCTATGTTATACCGTATATCATTTCATTATTTAAAAATTGTAAGGTGATATATTTTAATTACGTGATTTAGATTATATAAAAAAAAATTAATGTTTTTAGTTACTATATTTTTTTCTTATAAACAGGGATTTTAGTATTGACTCCATATTTGACTTAGATGATTTGCAATTTCCTTGTACAATTATTTAAAAAATTGTATTTAATATAGATTTAATATGATTGTATTTATTATTAGTAGATATATTAATATATTAATACCATAATATAATAATAATAAAATCAAATTTTTTAACTTTTCTTTCACTGCTTTAATATACAATAAAAAATTTATACTTTAAAATTTCCCATTCATTTTATTTCCGATTTAAAGATTTATATAAGTATCAATTAGGAAATTTTCGAATCAAACACTTTCAAAATCACTTGCGAATTTCGATATTTATGTTGAGCAATTGAATAGTGTTAGTATTCTTGTGCCACTATTATAGTGAAAAAACATGAGTAATAAGATAGCGCGCTTGCGAATTATAAGAAAAGGATGTATAATCTTGTACTATGAAAGAAGAATAAAGATGCTCCTAAATTTAAGTGTTGTAGAAGAGAAAGGTGCAAATTTTAGTGCTAAGCAAAATGGTGATATTAAATAAAAGTGTCTGGGATCAGACTGAAAACCTCCGTTTGATTTTGGATGGAAGTGTTGTTGGCAAGTGGAAGGAACAATGCAATTATTCAAGACTACTTGTACTGTTTCTTTTCGTTCCTTTTATTAAGTATAATAATATAATAAATAATGATCATGAAGTATATGAATGATGGTATGATTGAATAAATATAGGAAGTTTCTTCTATTTTGTTACGTGTTGATGAGTGTATATCCTTTTCGTTGTATAAGGAGTAGGTGCTTTCATAGTATGTGTTAGAGCCGCCGCTGATGTATTATGCGTCGGTCTAATGTAGAGCTGCCTCAGTAGTAGTATGCGTTAGAGCCGCCGCTATTTGTATTATGCATCGGTCTAATCGGTTAATATATGTAATATGATTTTTATGTTTTTACTCTTATTTTATGTTAGCACTAGCGCGTTATTAATTTAAGTTTAGTTTTACTGATTTGATAATATAGCGTCACTATTTCTTTCTTAGATTATTTGTTTAGTTGATTATTACGTATGTATACCGCTACAGAAAGTGATAACTGTGGAAATAAGCTTGAAGATGAATAGTGCGCTTGTTATAATGCCTGTGTAATTGTTACTAGACTGAGAAAAAAACAGATTGCTGCGCATGAAGCGCAGCCCTTAAATATTATCGCACTATTCCTTAAACGCCAGTGTTTGTTGCCATGACGATATTGGTTGTGACATCAAAAGGGCATAACCTGGAAGGTTCGATGGCTATTGTTTTATTTAAATAACTGAATCGCGCGTTCATACCTCTCCCACTTTCGCCTTTCAACTTTTCAATCCGTAACAAAAAGATTATAGTAAATCATCTTAACTGTAGTAAACGATTGTAGTAGTGAATATATCTTAAGATGGGAAGAGACTGAGAAATAAATAAAGTCAATATTATAGGATAACAAATGTTGAACAATAAAAGAAATCATAGTAATCTTATAATGAGAAATACATACGATTTTTATGGCATTATATAAGCAATCTTATATTTAGCAATACACTAGTTCTGCTACGTAAAGTATAAAGTTTTATAAATTAAAAGGCTTATTTTATATAGAAAAAAATTATAAGTTGCAAAATTTATTCCTACTATTAATTTTATGCAGTATTAATAAATTCTGTAGTTATGCCCCTGAATTTTCTAAAAAAATTTCATAAGTTTACATACTCACGGACGATTTAATTTCTGCAAATTATAATAATTGTTTGAATCAAGTATAAATAATATTGTTCGAAACTATTTGATTTCTTGGCTCGAACTGCTAATGTTTCAATAGCTTTATAATGATTTACCGTCCGCTCTAGTGGATGCTTAGGAAGGGCTGTAGAAATATACAGTGAGTTCAGACTTCGTTAAACATCGTTTATTATGGTTTATTAACAATTATATTATTGATGAGCTGCATTCACTTGTCATAGGTGCGTGTGAACTCTGTTTCTTCGCAATGATGCAGTTGCTCCTTGTTGATGGGGACGATGTTGCTGATCTTGTAAGGATTAGCAATGAATTGTGAAGACTCCTTGGTAAGGAGTATCCCCTTGGGATGTAAAAACCTAACCTTACTAATGTTATAAAGGTTAACAGAGAATTGTGCTTACTCCTTGAAAGGAGGTATGGCGAGTGAAATGCTATTCTTACTCACAGCGATACAGTTGCCATTACTTGATCCTGTGATGAACATTTTCTTGTAATGCCGTCAGCACCCTTGACTTCTTGTTTCGAGAACTTCAGGAAATTAAAGCTTTAGAATATTCAAGAATTCTCGGAATCAAATATTTACAAAAATTCGTAAGCTAGAAGGCTCATACATTTCCGTGTATAATGTAGAAAGTAATCACTAACAAAATACTGAATAAAAATTGGATACATAATATAAATTTATTCTTGATAGCTGAACTTGATGAACTTTCCTTATATAATTATTTATTATAATCTTATTTTATTTTATTCATTATGTTTTGAAAGTAATATCAACCATATTTAATTCTATTTATCATTTTTAATATATGTATTTAATTTGTAAAACATGTCACCCTATTATGAAATTCATTCATTGGGTTTTCATTAAATAGAATGATAATGCAATCAGAATAATTTAATGACTGATTAATAAATTAAGAGTTGTAATAATTTAACTATACGCATGTACATTTTTATAGAGTAAGGAGGTTCGGAATTCCAGTCGCCTGGTGGTCGAAGGACCAAGATGGTTAGATTAGACTATGACCACCATTTTACTGGTGGAAGCGTGTAAATAAGTGAGAGGTCAATGGTTCAATTCAGTAATCAACACAATTACTTTTTGTGCTATTTATTGCGTTTTAATTTACAAATACACAATTATAATTCTACGTTGATGGTGAGAATCGTTGAGATTTTGCTGTTCTTTAGTGGTTTTTCACGTGGAGGTATGATGCACTGCAAGTCGAGGTTGGAGGTTGTAAATCTCCAGGTTTTTATGATGTTGTGCGCGTGGTGGAAAATTAATACACTGAGAAGTGAAAGGTCGTAAATCCTTGACACTTCTTGTATAGTGCCATGTATGGTGTTTTAAAAGCCAGTCTTCTCTTGATGTATAAATATAAATGGTTCACTACCTCAGTGTAGCTTGGTAATGCGCGCTGTGGCACTTATTGAGATTTAGCGAGCATTGGCGCCTTGATCCAGAATGCAGTAATAAGTGTAGTGACGTCTTGACACTGATGTAGCACAGAATGCAGTGACGTTTTGATGCAGAAGTAATAAAGAATGCAGTAGAGAATGTACTGACGTCTTGCAGTACAGCGTGTTTCCTCTTAGTTAACTCAAGCAAGTGCGTGACCTTCGATGTGTGCTTGCTTTAAATATTCGAACGAGTTTGATTATCTGGCAACATTGGGCAGGTGTTGCTATACGGAGAATTGTACAGGTTTTCAAGAGTAAAGCTTTAGAAGTTTCGAAGTCTAGGAAAACAAGCTTTGGACGGTTGGAGAATTCTAACCGTCATTGCTATTCGGAGACTAGATAAACATTACAGAACGTTCGCAAGCAAGAACGATTATAAATTTCGGAGAATTAATTTTCTTGGAATGTGCTTCAATCTTGAACAAAGGAATACATTTTATTGTGAACAATACATGTACATTTTTTAAAATATTTTTTAAAATATCCATTTTAAATTATTGAATGTAATATCTTACAAAATTTCCTTTTTTTATTAGACATATGTAATCACAGACACCGTTGGAAAAATTTGTGAAACTTATAATTGCAAGCCAATAGAAGGGATGCTAAGTCATCAATTAAAACAGTTTACAATTGATGGAGATAAAACAATTATTCAGAATCCTAGTGATGCCCAGAAAAAGGAACATGAAAAATATGTCATGGAAATGCATGAGGTAAATACATTTCATAAATAATATAAAAATTATACGTATTTTTAGTTTTATTGTTATATACTACATTAAATATCGAAGTTTGATTATAATTATATTTTAATTAAATTTAAACAAATTTTGGAACCTTTTATATTTTTATAGTTTTATATATATATACATCACTATAATATTTTTAGAGAAAACTTTTTCAAATTTTTTTTTTTTTTTTTTTTTTTTTAAAGAAAAAAAGATGAATGAAAATGAAAACTTTTCACTCTTGAGGAAAAAGTGTCCAATATAAGTTATTTAAATTATTATAACAAATATAATGCTTAAAGAAAATTGTAAGAGTTCTCATTGTCAACTCTACTTGGCGTATCGAAAAACACGTATGTCGACCAAACAGTGCACTTCATAATTTCCAATTAGAGGTTACATAAAATTGGGTAAATCTAATAATCTAATAATGAAAAAACTACTTTAATGTTCAAGTTAATCAGATTCATGATCTAAAATGATGGAACAATTAGAATTTAAATAGTTTATTCTACGATTCAAATTCAAATTACATAATAGAAGTATTCATGGCAGCATTTCGAAGATTATCAGCTCGCAGAGGCATCCCCAATACATTATATTCTGTGGTACAACTTTTATTGGGGTGGATAAAAATATAAAAATCTTATTCCTCTTATATCCTTTTGTATCTTATCAATGCTCGTTGGGAATTCAATCACCCACTGCACCTCACACGAGAGGAAAATGGAAAGCTGTCGTGAAGTCCACGAAAATTCACTTGAGACGCACTGTTCGATTTTAAAGGTCTAGTTATGGCTCGAACTACCAATTCAATAGTTCAGTAGATTAGTCTCTCGGCAGGATAACTTTAAAGGAAATAATAATTGACAAGGCTGAAAAATATCATGTATTTAGTAAAACAATATTTATTATTTGTAAATAATTATAATTAATACTGTATGTTGAGTAGAGAAAGATTATTCTATTGAGGTAATGAGAATGTGCTCTTGTTTTCTTGATATTGTAGATTATATGGGTATTACTGTGTCTTGTAATTGAGGTTTTGCCGATGTTGTAAATATCAGCTAAGGTAGTCAGTCAATCATGCTTATGAGGTAGCATGAGAAGATGGTATTTGAATCAAGTATGCTTGATGTATGAACAACTATACTTGATATGGTGTAGAATGCGAGGTGTGACTAACTAATTTTTTAATATGAAAAGATGTACCTTTTAAACTGCTGACTGATTGCTGCGTAATTAATGTCCCCTTTGATTACTATTCCATTGGCTTCACTGTAATCACTATTTAATCTTCCGATTTCTTATTCTTATGCACGCATGTATTCTTAACTATGCTACCGAATATATGGCCACGTGTCGTCGTCACAGTATACTAAAAACACTGAGCGGCAATTACACTTAAGTGAGCGCGAAGTGATATTACAATGAGCGTGGCCACATGGCGAGCTGCGCTTAAATATGCATGCAGCCGATGCAATGCCGGCAACAGTGCCGCGGCGAGTCTTTTTCAGAAAATTCCTTGTGGCATCAGAAATCGAAGCTTCTAGAAGTTTCGTAGGCGTACTTCCTTGTAAGATCTGATAGTATATTAAATTTCAGATCGTAAAACTTTCGCCCGAATGCGCGTACCGTACGTCGCACAGCGCGTATGACCTACTTTTTCTGAAATTCATGAAACTGCATCAAACCCGAACACGCACAATTGGAGATACCTTGTTTACGTTCGAAGAGATCACTACTTTATTATCTCAAATTGAGGCCATCTTGAATTCACGGCTGCTAGAACCGCTAAGCGATAATCCAGATCACTGCTCAGCTCTAACACCAGGCCATTTTCTCAAAAATATCAGAACCGTCCTTAAATGACTTGGCAACCTCAAGACCATCCAGATGGCAATTTATACAACAGCGTATACAGCAGTTTTGGTCCCAATGGTCAGCACACTATTTACAACAACAACAATCAATTTCCAAGTAGCATTATCGACGTAATGATGTTAAGATTGGATCATTAGTACTCATCACTGATAAGCAATTGCCACCCTGCAAATGGCCACTTACCTGAGTTACCGTAATCCATCCTGGCAAAGATGGACTGACTAGAGTGATCACACTCAAAACAGCTTCAACTACTATTATTAGACCAATTCACATCCTGGCGGTACTGCCAGTCACCGAGGAAGAGAAAATAGAAGAATGATCATCAACAAAATTGATGATGGCGGGCGAAATGTCCGGGATTGGAGCATCTCCTTTATAATTATAATTAGTCATTTATATAATTTGATTCCAGTCAAAATTATTCATCTCATCTTACATTAAGTAAAAAAGTGCGAGAATTTTCTTCAAACATCAATATTATCTACATAAAGCTGTATAAAGTTTCAAGATATTTAAATAGTAAAATTCTTTTAAGCAGCATAAAAAACATCAAGCATTAAAATAAAATTGAAAGCAAAAATTCCTTGTATTTATATGTTTTATAATATTTTAAAAACTGATATTAGATACAAAACATTTTTTTTTTCAGAAACATCATTTATTTTTTTATTTTTGTTGTCAATATTTTAACTGGTATTTATTCTTTACGTACTTTGATATACATCTTTCGGATGCGAATTTCTTAGTTTACAAATTTGGTTTATAACAATATGTTGAATAACAGATGTTTAATTGTGAGACTAAAATAGTGAAGTGAAGCATCATTTATTCTTAAATTAAATAACTGGAAATATTTTTATTTAATATTTTAATGTATTTTAGTTACTATCTGACATACATACATCTCAATTTCTTTATGTATTTAAGAAATGTAAATCTTTGAATATTTTTGTATGCATACTTGTTCAGGGTTGAAACAGTCTTCACGAATTTAAAATTGGGAAAATTACAAGCTCTCGGACACTCATGTTTGTAAACACGATTCACCGACTAAACTGATACACCGCAGCTTGAGCCACAAAACAATCCCTCAATCTCGAATACTACTTGTCTAGGATTATATTAAAAACTCCCAGTGATGTTCGGTGGGAGGATTGCTTGCAATATGTGTATAAAATGGATACCTCTATCATTACTATTTTTTAACTATCAGCAAGAGAATATTATAGTAAATAAATATATTTTGTATATTAAATTATCTAGATAGCTTTTATTAATCTATTATCTTCAGAGATCAATTTTAATGAAATGAATTTTAAAACAAATTTAATGATCAGAATACGATTTATTTCAGGTATATGCTATGGATGTTCTAGTTAGTACGGGTGATGGAGTTGGTAAAGAACAAAACACTAGAGTAACAATATTTAAAAAGACTGATGAGACTTATCAGCTTAAATTGAAAGCATCGCGCATGTTTTATTGTGAAGTTTCTCACAAACACGGATTAATGCCTTTTAATTTGCGTACATTTGAAGATGAAAAAAAAGCAAAAATGGCCGTAGTTGAATGTGTCAATCATAAATTAATTGAGCCGTTTCAGGTAAATATATAGTTTTATTTAACAAAAGAACGTTATAAATTAAAATTGTAATTGAAGATATTGTGAATCATAGCTTTCAAATTAGATAGCTACCCTGTCGATTTTTCATCATATTCTTGAATACTTATGGGCGCGCTTATAATAAATCCTATAATTGCATTATAAATATTATAGGAAAATAAATAAGGAATTTTTTATTCAAGGAAAAGAAAAAATTATCCAATAATAAGTAATTATTTTACTGCAATGCTATTTATCTTTTTATTAACTTTTTGAAGTGTTATACTTTTTATATCGCTACAGTCTTAATATCTTTTTGTAATTCTTTTATTCACATTGATTCATATTCTAAATCTGAAAGTGATTTATTATTTTACAAGAATATAAATTATAGCGTAATTTACTGTTCAATTTTTTATTGAAATTTATCGTCTTATTTTAATAATCAATAGCAAAATACATATGAAAAATTTGTTTTTAAAATTATTGATATTTAAAAAAAACAGTTAACTTAAAAATAATAATTTTTTAAATAATTTTTTTTATTCATGCCAATAAAATATATTTAAAATTGTTTGTAAAATAAAATTTTATTTTCACTTTTAATAATATAATAATAATAATTATAGTAATAAGAAAATTTCGATAAATTGGTTTTAAAATTATTAAAAGTAATTTTAGAGGTCAGACGTTCGCTTCATAATATATGAAATGATTAGTATGAAATTACTTTTTTATATCAATAAATAAGTATTTGTAGTATATACTCTTAAAATTTTATAGAATTAATTGAAGAGCATTAATAATATTTTTTATATTAATGAACTTATTTTAGGTATTATATGAAAAATCAAACGAATATGTGGCTCAGTTCAAATTTACGGTTTTATTGATGCCTACTGGTCCACACAAAATTACGGGAATACCATTCGAACAAGATTTATATAGTTCCCAATATTCAATAGAAACTCCTGAACTTAAAGTAAGTTATAAATTATTTAAATAATTAGAAAAAAAATTTATTCTAATCTTAATAATGAATTGTTAAAAATGTGATAAAATAACGAAAATATGTGAAATATGTAGTAATTTAAAATGTGCAATAGTTTATCAATCCTTTAGATTAATGATAAAAATATATTAAATTTTTCATAGATTATATTTTAATAATTTAAATAATTTTCTTTATAAGAAGACTATTTCTATGTAAAAAGTATTTCTAAGCATATACATGTATACACGTTTTATGCTAGATATAATATACTGCTCTGTAGTTACTTTTACTACGAATAACAGCAGTCGCAAACATTTTCTCATATCTCCTAAGGTGATAAGATATGCATGCTAAACTATTTATTCAATTTCAAAATTGAAAAAGAAAGTGACAAGTTAGAAAAGTTACAATGAGTTCAAGTAATAAAACATGTAATAATAAAGTAACAAATTCATTACTCACACCATATTTGAACTTACTTTGAAGCATCTACACTTTTTAACCCATTATATAATACAAAATTATTCCTGACAGCGTTTTTATTTCAGCGCGATTCAATTTTTCCTATCGTTAGCATTCTTGATTTTTTAATTGTTTTTTGTATTTTTATTTTTTATTTATATTAATATATAATATAATATATAATTTAAAAAGTTTTAAAACTTATTTCCATATTACTATTTAATGAACCTTGTTTTAAAACTTCCTTTAATGATATTAAATACTACTTTTATCGATTGGAAGTGGGAATCGAAGTGTTCTTTTATCTGGTATAAGTCTTTTAAACAATCACATCTACGAGTTTACGAATTTTATTTATTTCTTAATTATTGTTAATCAAATTAAACTGCTGAAGATTTCTTCTAATATTATACAATTTTATTTTTCTGCGTATTAAAAAAAAAAGTATCTGTTTTCAATCACCAAAAGAGCGGCTACCTAGTAATACATTAAATAGTATGGAATTCAGATAAAATGGAAAAAAAGTGCGAGGAATTTTTAATTCGCAATCATAAATAATATTTAAGTAAATTTTTTGCTTTTTATTTCCTTACAAAATATTTTGTTAATGTCATTGCATAAATGATTACAAGTATAGTGTGTACACAATATGTGTAATAAATGTTATTATAAATACATCTAATAAAAAAATTATATTTACTAATGTATTATTCTATATTAAATTAATTTTTATAAATACAAACTCTACCTTCATGCGTAGTAAATGGTATACATATCTTCCCTATAACTCCATATAAGATAACGACAGATATCTTAGTGCAAAAATGTACGTAATCATATTTAATTCGTTAAACATTATTTGTCATAATAGAAATTATATCAAAAACACTTTGAGTTGAAATTGACATTATTATCGTAGTATCTTCTTTGTTCTATGAAAATATAGTGAAAACCACTGGTGCAATACATATTAAATAGAAAAGATAACAAGAGAAGTTATTGCAAAGATTTGTATTATCTAAGATGTAGAACAAGTTAAATACATAATTGTGAAACTACATATAATTAGCAAAAGAAGAGAAAAAGGAAAAAAAGGAATCAACTGCAAATAAAAGGAATATTAAAGTAATAAAATTTAAAAAGGGAAAAATAATAAAACATTTGTAAAAAAGGGCAATCTATTAATTATAAGTTAACTTAGTTATTTGCGGCAGAACATAATTCCAAGCATCTTCGAATCAATACATGTGGGTATACAAGCCTCCAGTTTGATATTCATCTTACTTTGAATTAATTATTAAAGATGTATCAAATCACTGAAAACTAGCTTTTTAGGAATAATTTTTTTTACTAGGTTACGATTCTCCAAATTTTTTGTAAATGTTTTAAATTACAAATTAATTTTACTTTTTAAAAGTGCTTTAAATAAATTTACATTTATATAAATAACATTCCTAAATTATAATTCTATTTTAAATCAATAAGTTAAGATATATGTAAAAAGAATTAGTACTAATTTTTAAAAAATGGAAATCAAGTTCCAACTACGTATTCAAAATATACATTTATTTTAATAATTTACTTTTTTTTATAGGCCTTATTAAGTTCTTCAGCAAATCCCAAGTCTGGAAAGAAAAAGAAAAAGAAGGCAGAAAAAATGATTGAAGATGGAAAAACTGAGCTCGATTTAAAAAATGAATAAGTATCAATAATCAAAATAATAAAATTAATGAATAAATACTAATTTTGTTTTTATAATAAATTTTAAATCTCCCATACTGACAACACTTTCTATCGAAGAGGAAATTGAGATAAAAAAAATTATAAGAAATCTTTTTTTATAATATATATTTTATTATATTTAAATATATCAACATTTAAATTTTGAAAAATAATAAAATTTTATCTTGTACTAATCATAGAAAAAACCCTTTAAAATATAAAGTCTTACTTCTAATAATTTTAAAAATGTAAAAAAAGTTATTATTTAAATTTTTAAATATAAATATATTAAGAATTGGTTTTTTTATTTCAACAATATTTACATAAAAAAGTAATTCTTGAATGAAAATAATATTCATAAAAGACTATAATTTATGATAAATATATTTTAAAATTTATATTATTTTAAGCATCTACAAACAGTCCATACATAATGAGTTATGGTAAAATAAAATTAATATTATATATTTATAAATAATTATTATAAATGTTTTAAAATTAACAATGTTTGTAATAGTATTGATTAAAAAATAAGTCAAAATATTTTACACATTTTAGTGCAATAAATTACAAATATAATAAATTCTACGATATTAAATGTATAAGTTTCGTAGTTATATTTATAATACATAAAACTTAATTTAATGTATTTAAAAGTTTTAACGATTAGAATACGTCACTATATAAAATAAATTATAAAAACACAAGTGCTGATTGTCACACCAAAATATACCTACAGCTTTGCTATTATTATTTACTATTGTTTTAATATTCTAAAATTCTCTTCTACTATTTAAAAATGCAACAATCAATTCAGGATATTTTAACGTTTGGCACATTTCCTATTGAAATCTATTAAACACCAATTATAACAAATTATCAAACATATGTTTTTAAAACATCAATTTTATATAAATATATATATATATATATATATATATATATTTCTTAGAAAACTTTTATAAGACTAAGCATCATTAAACGTAAAATATTAAAAAATTTTGCTCTCATTTATATAAAAATGATATTAACAATATGTATTATTAAATAATATAAAAAAATTCCGTAAAGGAATAAATATTTAATTTCTCAATTAAAATACAAAAATGAAGTTCTAACTGAAAAATATACTTAATAAAGTAACTGCTTTAATGTATCAATACTGATAATGGTTGAAAATGAGCCAAACAAATATAAGTTCTCAAAACAGTAAAACAGTTATTAAATAGTATTTGAACAGTAAATATCTTGATAAGCTTTTTAAGTTTTTATAATATAAAGTACAAGACAACCAATTTTAGAACTGATAATTCGTTATGATACCCGTAAAATGAGATTAGAGCATTACGACAAATTCTTGTTTTTAAGTTAAAAATGTTAATTAGGGAACTGTTTTCCAAATTACTCGATTTTCCGCTGTTCACCGGTTGCTTAAAATAACCAGGTCTGAAACATAAATAAACTACTTTTATTATGAAAGTAAACTGTTCATAAATTTGAAAAGTACCTAAAAAAAATTGTAACTAACATTAATTACATGCGGGACAGATGTATAGATGTTATAGATTATTGTAATTGAACAGAATGTAATAATATGGAGACAAGTTTTGCATAGTTAAATTTAATACATGTACAGTAAGATTTGGAATCATCAAACAAAATTAATTTTTTAAATGAGTTTTATAGATTACAAATTAAATTATCACATTTACGTAACATGCAAATTGAAATAAAATAAATCAATTACGAAAAGTGATGGGATACATTTTAAGTACATTTACACATATTAATCAGATTAATATTGTTATTTTTAATTAGTATATGTCGACCATCGAATTATAATTGTCGTGTAATTAAGTTAATAATATTTTTACGAATAAATTCATAGCAAGTCAAGAATTAATAAAAAAAAGCCTGAAGCTTAAAAACAAAATGTGTTGATAACGTTATATACAATCAATTATAATAAAATATAAATTTATAAAAGATTTCGAATTAAAAAAAGAAATTACTTATTCGAAATATAAAAAATCGTAAACTAATTATTCAGAAAAATAAAAGATTATAAGTAAACGCATTATCAATGTGCATAAATCATAAGTGAAAATTAGTATGGATTACGTATTGATCACAAAAAAAATTTGAAATACACATACAAAAACGATGAGTTATTTACATGTTAATGAGGTTATAATTTAAAGATAATTATTATTATTAAATTATATGTTATAAAAACCAAAAATTACAATAAAAAAATCTATTAATATAAGTTAAAAAAGACAATTTTTTTGACGGATTTATTATAATTATGAAAAATAGTAGTATTAGAATGCAGTAAAAATTTTACATTTATGAAATAAATAACAAAATGATTAAATGTGAGGAGTGTAATTAAAAAAAATAATTTTAATGTTGCATATTTTTATCTTAATTTAAAACCTTGTTACATTTCGCCATCCGTACTTTTGTATAAAACTTTCTGATATTAAAAAAATTTATTGATATCTTTTATTTTTATCTGAACACAGCCTTTATTTAAAAATTGTACTTGTTATATATTTCTAAAGGAGATAATAAATTGAATTATTTGTGAAAGTATTAATTGTAATGTCAATTAAAAAAATTTTCGAACAAATTGATCTATCATTTTAACTTTTTAAAAGAATTCCAGTTAAAAATTTCTTTTTTTCAAGTATATTTTTAAATATCTTCGTTCAATTCTTGTACATAATATTCGTTTATAAAACATAAGTCACGAATTGTATTCTTAGAATCCAGATAATTTTCAATAAATTTAAAGTTGGAGGATTTTATTTATTTATTTTATTATAACCATTAAATATGATAAAACCTTTTTTTTATCAATTATTTTCATATTTATAATGTACATGCAAGGCATTAAGTAAATTGTGATATCCTATTCGAACACATAATATTAAATATATCTAGTTTTAAAATTTCGAAAATTTTTAATATACCAATATAATTTTTGTAAATTCGTTTTTCAACTTCAATGCTAAGATAACTTTCAGTTATGTTTATTAAATACAGTATAAATGCATTTTCTTTCTATCACTGAAGATTTTCCTATTTTTATAAACATACAAGTGATCTTATGTTCTTTTAAGATCTGATTTTGTACCTAATTGAGATTGTTATAATTTCTTGTTACAATTATTAAGACTTATTTAGGATAAAAATGTTATTTAATATATTGTGGGCCAGATTGCTTCTTTGGCAAGAATATTTTGATCTCCAATTGTGTGTATGAACTTAATTATTGCTCTGTACATCAATTTACGATATTTGATAAACTTTTATGTAATTTTCTATATTTTTTATCAGATTTTAGATTTTAAAAATTTTAAGATCTTTTTAAAAGATTCTTTATACAATCGGCAATGATTTTGATTTTACTATAAATTAAATATTTACATTTAGTTTTGTAAAATTTGAAATGCAATAATGCATTCATTACTTGATAAGTTTATAATCTAAAAAAGCAAAAATAAACTAATCCAAATATTAACAATCAAACAATGAATATTGTCGAAGTAGAATAGCACATATTTAAATTTTTTTTCTATATAAGAATCTTGAAGTAAATATTCGAATATGATTGTTTCATATAGTGTATTAATTAAACAAAAATTGGGAATATATTTTTTTTTATTTTACAATAATTTCATAATTTGTTTATATTTTTATAAAAACATACTTTTAATTTTTAAATATTTTTTAATAATTTCAATCTAACAAGTTACTCAAATTGTTTTATAAAAAAAATTCTAAAACATTTTTATTATAATACAAACGTACAACTATAATAGCAATGTACCATTTAAAAACATTGATTTAGTTTCTTCAATCATACACGAAACGTTGTGTATTCTGATGGGAATGCAAAATTATGACGACCAATTGCATTGACACTTGGTAAAAGTCCTGCATTTGGAACTACATTCCATGATAAATATAATGAGATATTTTTGTTCCCCCTGTAATACAAAATTATTGGAAATTTATATAATCAACAAAAATTAAATAAATAAATATAACTTAAAACTAAAAAATCATATATGTATTTATAAATCTTCCAATTAACAAACATTCAAATCAAATAGCTTTATCTATTTATCTATATATTAAGGATAACATCGGCAAATTAAAATGTTAATATATTTTTACACATTCTTATGTAATACTTTTAAAGCAATAATATGAATACTTTTGCCAAATCGTTGAATTATTTTAAACTATAATAATGCAAACATTCCTTATCTTTCAAAATTAGATATATTACTAATGAATGAATTTAAATGAATTTATAAATTATTATCATAAATGAAAAAACAAGTATTTGCTTAATCATGCCAAATGGCATTTTTTACAGCTGCTTTTTTTTATTTGTTTTTCAATGAGATTACTTTTAATACAAAATAATGTAAAGGTAATTATATAATTAACAATCAATATTACAGAAATACAAATATATTAACTTAAATGAAAATGATTATTTTAAGTAAGCATTAAATAATCAATTAATTACAGTAACACTTGATCTTTGGATTATATTAAATGTAATTTTATAGAACCACAGAAAAAAATATATAAATTAATTATTTTACAAACTAAATATAAATATAAATTTGTATAAAAATTTTGATAACATATTAAATAAATTTAAACCTATATTTTATTAAATTAAAGCTCATAAAATAGTTCGTTAATTATTAAATATTTAATTTAACAATATTTACATAAATTTAATTATAGCTGGATAACTATTATGCCTTATGTAACTACTATTATTGTAATTGTTAATTTAAAAAAGTAATTTTAACACACTTATCACCATATTCGTTTACTCTTTAAAATGTAACTTGGTTAATTATTAGTTGATAAATTTTAAGAAAGCTCATTGAATACTTTTATACATCATAATAGAATTTTCATTTAAATAAAAAAATGTTAACACCTGTACCAAATAAAGATGTTTTCATTCGTTAGCTTCTCAACTAAAATAAATCTAAAATTATGGAAATTCCATAAATTTAGATTACAAAAATAAAAATAATAAAAGTTTAAAAAAAAACAATGACGAAAATTACAATTCATAATTAACATATTCTTTTTCAATTTAAGAAAAATGGAAATCAAAAAATAAGAAAAAAATATTTTTGATCATTCAGAGTTCGTTTTTTAATAAGTTATATATCATGATTGTATTTGGACAAATAGAGTATTGTAGTATTTATAATAATAAGTCTTTAATAACTCTTTAATAATAAACTTAATGTTAGATATATTATTCCAAGACTCCTCTATATATTAATCGAGCATAATAATTTAAACTGTCATTACTTCTTATGAAATACGCTGTATTTATACAATCTTATTTTCCAAATTATTTCTTAAATCTTGTAGCAATTGTTTACGAAGCTTACTATTATTCATTTTTATAAGTACCAATATATTTTTCTATTGCTACTTCGAAAAACAGCACTTTTTATATAAACTACTAATAACAGCATTAAATACTTTGTTGTATTATTCAATTTTAGAATATAATGAATATTCTAATCTTTGTTATCATTGTATACTTTAATATTAATTTTGAATAAATATTTCTAGACTAGGAAACTTATTTACATATAAAATAGTTTCTTTATGCAAACAAAAATAGCTATTTAAAAAAATCTTTCAATTTATATAAAAAATTACATCAGAAGTAATAATATTTATTGTATAGAGTGAAGAAATATTGAACATCTGAATTTTGTAAATAGTGTGATTTAGTTATAAAATGAGAAACTAATTAAATTAATTATAGGAACACAGGAATCGAATTACGCTCTTTTAAATTACACAATTTTTAAAATAAGAAAATTCATTTAATGAAAAATATTCTAGTCTATAATTATTTAAAAAATCACGAGTGATCTATTTAAAACCATGTAAAGCAAGCGAGATTGTAGGAGCTAGAAAATATAGGATTTGTATTTCATGTGTGCAAGTTATCGTTTCAAAGTGTTCATAAATGATTTGGCAAAAAACTTTAGATCTTAAATATATTAAATAATTATTAAAAAATAGGCAACTAAACGATATTTTCAATTTTTTCAAAAGTATTATATTATATTTATTCTTATGTCAACAATTTTTTATTACATTCTAAAATGTATAAAATAAATAAAATATTTTTAATTCGAACTAATTATAAATAATTAAAGATGACCAAGTACAATAGAATCAGAATATCAAATACAAATAAAACTAAATAAAATTAGATTTTATATATAATTATGTGTAATTGATTTGTATTTTTACTAAATAAAATAAAAGCAATAAATGCACCATAATGAAGAGAGCTTTGAGTACTTACAATCATAAAGAAATATAAAAAAAAAAACAGATCGAATAGGATGATAATATAAATATATAAATTAATAATTGACAATTTGAACACTTTTAACAAAAAACATAATTAAATCAATTAGTTGAGTATTTATGCCATTTATTACATAAAATTATATTAATATTTTACAAACAGAAATTAAAAGAAAGTCTTTATTGTGAATTTGATTGATTCAAGTCAGTCACAAATCTTAGATAAGATTCATTCGTATTTAATATTATTGCTTTAACCTATATATAGTTAAATGATCCAAAATAAATATAAAATTATGATTATTAATTATGATAATTAATTCAAACATATAAAAAGTCCAAATAAAATAACTTTCATAAAGATTATATTTTTTTAAATTATTGTTCATTAAAGCGACGCCAATTTGAAATTAATATACCATTCCATAACATATATCAATGTTGTATGAGCTTTTGAAAAAGTGAATGGAAAAAGCTTTTCTTTAAAGTTTTTATAATTTAAAAAATTTTTAACCATAAAATTAAATATATAAAACAAAATTTCTTCAAGATTTCTATTTATTAATAAAAAACGAATAGAATGATGAAAATTTTATTTTGGAAAATGTAATCAACAACAATAAACATATAACTGTGAAAATGTAGATTGAAAATCTTAACAGTGTTAATTTTAAATACAAAACAAATGACAAGAGATTAGACAAACATGTATTTTAAACAAGTATAATATAATTTAGCTTATTAGTAATTTTTCAACATTAAATTGCCTATAAGTATCATGTCCTGGTATTTTATTATAATATATCGCCTAACGTTGCGATTGCACTTTCAGTATTCTTTTATCAAAAGTGATATTATAATGACCGTTATTATTTATTAATTATTTTACAATACTTAAATTTGTTTAATTATATATTAGGCATTATAATTTTTTATTTTATAATTATCCAAATATTCAAAAATATCAATACAAAATTTAATATTGCCTTTTTAATTTTAGTGAAGCTTACACAATGTTTTCATTAAAGCTCTTTACGAATTTATGTTGATAACATTTTTCTTTTTGATATTTTTTTAGAATACTCAATTAAAAAATTTCTCTGGATCTACCATATATCATTAAAAAAGAAATGAAATGAACTCACAAAATACAATTAAAAACTCTTAACTTGCATATGAGCTTTTGTATTATTATTTTAATTTTTTATATAATTCCCTTCAGATATTTGTACATAAAGATAAATTTTATACAAATTATAATTACCGAAATTAAACCTATATTGTTATAAAAGTTGATGATAATTTTCATCTATTTAAAATATACGGACATATTTCAAATAACTAAAATATAAGAACTGCAGTAAGTATAAATAATAATTTTGATAAAAACTTTAATAACTAATTTCGATACATATTTTGTTTATAGAATTATATGTATATAAAAAAAATATTTTGTTCATTTTTAAATACCTTAAACCATTTCCGTCATCCCAAAAATAGTATTTTGTATTTAAATTTTTGAAATCAAGCACAGCATTATCGCCACGTAAAATAATCTTATCCCATAAAATTATCTGAAAAAAGAAAATACGGAAACGGAGATGAACTTACGTTAAGCATAATAACTTTATTATGAAGATGAAATGTAATAAAATTATATATTTTTAATATCGGAATATCGATAATTTAAAAGAAAGTATTATTGAAGAATATTTATAATTTGTATAATGGACTCTGTTCGAAATTGCGAGACCTCTTTTCAATGCAATAAAACATCTGGCAAAACAACATCATTAAATTGTCGTTAGTCTTTAACAAAATTCCTGCTCATTTCATATTAAGCTAGAATGTCATTAAACTTATTACACACCATCGTAAAGCTTGAAGAAAACTCTCTCACGGACGTCGGAGGCATGAAAAGGTCAGTACATCTGAAAAACCCCGTTAATTAGTCATGCTAGTTACTTCGCATTACCAATGCGTTCATTGTTTGACCTGTTAATGACCTTGCTGGTTACTGGCAACGTGTCGAATCTGTTTATGCTAGAACGATTGAAAGTACCAGATGTACGTAAACTCTTGACCATAAAAACATTTCCTAAATTTCACTGCAACCCAAAACTTCCCACGTGCGACAACGAGCAATCGGCGTACGTGCATATTCGGCATTTTAAGACTGCGTTCATTGTTCTCAACTACACTGAATTTTGCCGATCGTGTTAGCCAATCGACAGCGCTCCCAGAGAGCCTACCATATCACTAAGTCCCAGAGAAGGGAGAGACGAACAATAGTAGATGCACCCCCCCTTCATATACTTTCCCGATTTAGCATGTTAGCAAGCCTAAATCCGGACGGAAGTGGAAATGAAGGCAAGCATGATCAATCGTGCTGCCCAAAGTCGCGCTCTCATTGGATACAAGACAAAAGGACAAATGCAATGTACCAACACTTATTCTCACGAAAAGTCACGACTTATTCTCATGAAGGAGGAAAAGAGAAAAGTCAATCAGTTAAGTCTTGTAAAGTTTCCATTTCTGTGCTTTATAATTCAGTTATATTAAGTCTCGTCAAGCCTTTAGAGCCCCAGGAGCTTCCCATTCATGCCTGTGAAGAGAAACAGAGGTCACACTACAACTTCCAAGTAAGTCTTATCATTAGTGTTCGATTCTGTGCTTCACGGCCTATTTATACACGGACTGCAAGCAGTTAGTGTACAAGAAGCTTCCCGCGCATGCTCACTTCGCAAGACCAGCAAACCACGGCTCACTATTTAGAGTCAACTGCAACACGTGCCAGAATCATGACGCAGATAAGAACTGTAGCGTATGTAATAATTCTCAAGTGGCAATATTCAAGAAGTGACGATAGTTTTATAATCTATACTTTTTCACAGTCAATCACTATCTAGGCCATTACGTCCAGAGGATCAGGAACTTCACAACCTTCTGGTTCTCCAATAGAAGTGCACCTCAACGCCACATTTATTATTGAGAACAATAAGGGTTCATTTATAACCTCTTCAAAAATAATCCCTAAATTTAAAAGTAATGGGATAAACAACAATAAAAAATATATATGTTAATTATTGAATCAGTGCATTAGCCCTTCCACTTGCCCACGCATTGTCCCACATAGCAACTAGTGGTTTTTTTTAGTTAATTCTAAACAGAATTAATGGAAGATCTTATAATATATTAAATTAAAATTATATTTTTAATAATAAAAATGCTTGAAAAAAGAAATATTAATTATAAACAATAATTTTTCATAAAACCTTTAGAACAAATAATATTACGAAATACGATAACATTTTAAATATAATGGAAGAAAAAATATTTAATACTAACTTGTATACATTACAATGTGTTCGGGATTGAAGCAACTTAATCCGAATTTAAAATTGGGAAAGTTACAAGCTCGCAGACACTCATGTTTGTAAACACGATTCACCTACTCTGCGAATTTCCCTTTGCCTTAAATTCAAATATACTACAATATTTCCGCATAGCAACGCCGATGAAACTTCTAGAGCCTTCCAAGGCTATGTCCTTAGACGTTTCTAGAATATTCCAGAACTTCGTTTCTGACGTCACTAAGATTTTCGACATAGCAACAAGCATCAGTGCTGTTGCCGACTTCGCAAGCTGCTACGCGAATATTTAAGAGCAGCTCGTCACGCACCGAAGCTCACCGTAATTCTACCACTTGTTCACTCATCTGTTGTTACCACCAGTGTATTTTCAAATCTATCTAGTATCAGTTATTACCTACAACTACGAAACTTAGTCGCATGCCTGCAATCAACCTACAATATATACGTGTATTATTGCCAGAAACTGCAATAACAGGTTAGTAATTTAACAGTGAAGCCATTGAGATTGTAATCAATAACATGCGGTAGACATGCCTCTAAAACAGCATACCCTGACGGTAGTTCACAAGGTACATCCTCTTTATTATTTGTACAAGCTAGTCATCCATGCTCGAATCACGTTTCATATAAAGTCTGCCAAGACAGGTGACGCAATACACTCTCTCAGACCCATCAGGCCGGAGAACTTACGTTCGCCCCAATACGTTTAATTACATTGTCAAGGGAAGACTACAATCTCTCAAATAGTCGACTATAACCTCATAATATGAAGTCCTTCCGCACTCGAAGATATGTCATTTATTGTTCTTGTGTGTGGCTAGCTTTCTAATACTCCCATACTCCCTTTGGAGTTTGGTCGATTTACGTGACAACTACCACAGAAACCACAGTATTTTCCCCTTTTAAGTACATTTACTCTCCCTACTAAGCACTACTCATTACCATTACCATCATCCCATTTTCATTGATAAGCATGATCGACTACTCATGCTGATCTTTACAATATCAGCACAGATCCCATAACATCAATGACATCACCACCACTACGAAGAAGCAACCTAACCACAGCAATAGAATAGTTTCCTCTCTTTTACTCAAAGCAATCGTAAAACTGCAATATTGTAATAATTAATAAACCAGAATAAACGATGTTTTAATTCAAGAATATACATTATATATATTTCAGCCCTTTCTCTTGTGGTTTTTCCCGCTATCACTACAATGAAAGACTAATCCACTGAAATATTGAATTGGCAGTTCGAGCCATAAAACAATCCCTCAATTTCGAATACTACTTGTCTAGGATTTGACAAGCCACGCAGGGCTGAGACCGGGCGATCACCTTCTACATGTAATTACATTGTCGAGGCTCGAATTCAGCCGTTCAAGGTTGGTAACGCAATATGCTCTCAAGCCAAGCAGGGCTGAGACCGTACATTCACCTTCTACATGTAATTACATTCAAGGTTCGTGACAAGTCCCTTCCGTCCTTGAAGGAACAATTTATGATTTAATTTTCTTGCGTGTTACTTACACTCTTATATTCCCATTCTCACTTGGAGTATGGTCGAGTTACATTACAACTACCTCAGTGAATACCGTATCCGCTTCTATTAAGTATGCTTGCACTCTCAACGAAGTCTTATTCATTACCATTACCATTAACATTACCATCTTCCCATGCTCATTGAAGAGCATGGTCAACTACTCATGTTGATCGTTACATTAACATAAAACCGAGATTGAAAATCCACATTAATCTCCATAGAATCAACGGCAACGGCACCCTCACCACTGCAATAGAATAATTCTTTCTCTCACTAGAAGCAACCAACAACACTGCAATATTATTATAATTCATAAACCAGAATAAACAATATGTTCACTCACGATACGCGTTACATTATATTTTTCAGCCCTTCCACTTAAGCCTTTTTCCTCCTATTCACTATGGCGAGAAACTAATTCACTGAACACAAATTGAATGTTGTTCGAGAAATAAAACAAACACTTAAATTCGACACAATGAATATATATATATATATATATCATATATATACGGAAACAAGAAAAATAATTTTTAGAACAAAAATACAAAAATCATAGAAAGTGCATATCTGCTCGGAATCCAAAAGTGGGAGAGGTATAAGCTCCCGGACATTTACATTTATAAACACAATTTAGTGAATTCGGGAAATTCCGCTACGCTGAAAACTCGAATATACGATTATAATTCCGAATAGCAATGTCGACGAACCTTCCAAGGCTATATCCTACTGACGTCACGACAAAAATCGGCATACCAACAGACACCGTTGTGCTACCGGCGTCACAAGCTCCTATGAGAATATTTAAGAGCAGCGCTTGACGCGCATTTCCCTTGTGCTAGTACTAATCATGCAGTCTCTACGACTTCAAGCATTACCACTACAGGTATCACTCACTGTAGCTATTCACGTACGTAAGCATCAAGGAGTTCAACAACCCAATAGTGATGCCACACCATTAGAATTCGTTAAATTTAAACGTAAATTTATATTCAAAAAGCGCCAGTGCAAACATAATTTAAGAGTGAAATTAACGAAACTATAACTACACATATACCAACGTATCGCAACATAGATACAACGGCGGCGGCCCACGCCTACGTAAGCAGCAACGGCAACTCGCACGTTCTTTCAACCACACCAATACCGGCGGCCCACGCCTACGTAAACAGCAACGGCAACACGCACGTTCCTTACAACCACACCAACAGCGGCGGCTCTCACGCACACCGACGACTAATGGAGTAGCGACTCAAGCCCTCCTTTAGTAAGTATCGGTTACAACAGCAACACTTATCATGGAAAGAAGGAATCACGCCTCACACTACTGAAAGTACACACACTCTCATCACCACGTAAAATTGTCACGTAAAAGTGTCAACGAAGTGTGAAAGTCGTTCAAAAAACAGTCATTACAAGTCCAAAAGGAACGAAGGCTATCCCCTCATTAACGTAATTCAAGAAACAGTCGTTACACGTTCTAAAGGATCGAAGAAATATCCACCTATCGGAGTCCGAAGACAAGTCGACGATTAGTCTTCGTAAGTAGTATCACCAATACAATACGCATCAAGTTCTGAGATTCAGAGATTATGTCATCGACAAGCAATTATGGGCGAAGAGGCTCTGCCCAGAGAAACAGTGCGGGATAAATTCCAAACGTGCCGCCAAGTTCGCATCATCTGATGCGAGGCTTGCCGGCCTTACCTTCACCTTAGTTAAAAATCTGACGCTTATGAATTCATAGCGTGCCATTCAACGCTCGCAGCAGACGCAATACGCAGCAGTATCCTTCATGAGGTAAAAGCCCTTCAAACTCTTACTTCTATCTGAATTTATTGCAGTACGCTAATATCAGGACAAGGTATGCTTGCTACGATACGAGTATATCTCAAGTAACAACAATTATATGTGTTGCTTTCTATAATACCATAACCTCAATTACGCACGTGCTCATCCAAACAGCGAGTGTCGACGAATCAAACTTCGCGCCATTCTGCTCAAATTCAAACCATCACGCTGCATAGATGAGTGTGCATTAATCCACCACAAGAGTTATTTCAATAATTAATAATAGTAATACTAGTCAAGCCTTGTCATCGAATAAATAACAGAATAAACAGCACACATCAGCCATATTTATATTGTATCATTATAATATCCCTTCCACTTGTGACGTTTCATCGCTATCACACAACACCCGTGGTCTCTCGAGTTGTCAACGGCATCAATTTGTATCCTTCGAAACGGTCTTGGTAAAACAAACCAGAAAGGTGAATACATTTTGTACAATATCAGTTAGATTTTTGTTAATAAGAGTATTTAATAAATAAGATATAAATATCAATTTTGTATCTGCATATATTATCTAAAAATAGAGTACCCGGCTAGGAGGGCTAAATATCTGCAGTTAGATGAAACTCCCAGATAGTTAATGGGAGGATCGCGGGCAAGTGGACAGGATAGTGCAAGTATTAAATAATAAATACTTTTTTTCTTTATTTGTATTTATTGCTGTCATTCCGTTAAATTACACTATAATAACTCTAAGTGTTGATGATAGATTTTTATCTGTCTTGCTGTTCCTTTATAGCTGCTACGTGATGGTAACATGTACTACATGTATAGAATGGAGGGCGTAATTCCCCTGGTCCTCTTCATGTGGTGCGCGTAGTGGTGTAAATGTACACGTAGAAGAACAAGGTCGTAAATCACCGCGTTTCCTTGTGTAGTGGAACGTGGCAGTAGCTTGAGTTTGCGTTGTTATTGTCTTATTGCTTACCTTGTGGGCTCTGCAGGTGTGCTCTTGGTGGTACTTCATCTTAGTCTGCAGATATTGCCGCGTACGGCGCCTCGCAAGTCTATCTTGTGGGAACCAAACTTGCCCCTTATGCGTTTGCTCATTATGTGCGCTTGATCGCTCTACAGTTCTATCGTTATTAAGGAATGGAACTTTTACCTTGTGAGTTTTGCAGATTTTGTGCTCTAGACCGCAACTCGTGATGTCTGCAGACTTTGCATCGTGCGGCAGTTTGTAGTTTCTGTTTTGTGTTTTGCAGGCTATACTTTGTATTGTTTGCTGAATTTTCCTCGAGCGGCTCCATATAGGTTATGATTATGTTGCGCTCTGTGACCACTGTTTTCTTGTTCCCTTTTCCTTTTCTTGTACTCCTGCGAGTGTATGATTTATCTGCACTTATCTTGCACTTATTGTGAGTTGGATATGACTAGTCTTTGCCTATTAATTCTTGGTCTTTACTATGTATGTCTACATCCTTGTTCTTTGGCGTTCTTTTTTGAGAAGAAGCAGTTACGCCTTGCCGGCGTCTTTCTTAAAGACATTTTCGGCCACCACGTGGTCTTTACGAATTGCCTCCTTCATGGCGTTTCCAATTAGAGCGCTTCTTACTTGCATCATCACCATGAGGGGCACTTTTTTGGCACGTTCTGGCTTCACTATCCGGGCCACATGTGCCTAGATTTGACAACAGCGTATGCGTTGTGCGCCCTTTACTGCAATGTTCCCTGTAATATCCTTTTTCCAGGTGACAAGCGACGTGGTTTTTCCTTATATTTTTATGACTTGTTTTTGCCAGATGCTTAACGACTTGGTTTTTCGGAACTCTAATAGTTAGTTTTCCAAATGTCTAATGACTTGGGAATATTCTTACAATTTCGAACATATATTAATATACATTATTGAAATGTATTCTACAAACAAAAAAATACGTAAATGGCACTTTAATACATAATAATTCAAAGAGATTGTAAACAAAATGTTAAAGTCCAAATCAAAATCTACATTATATGTAAATTTACATTTCATAATTTTGTGTTTATTCTTAAAATATTGTTAAACTATATTTACATAATATTGATGTATTATTAAACTACTGTATGTTATGGTACTTATGTTGATTTTACTTTATTTTATTTTAATAAAATAAAATCAATTGATTAATAAGGAATAAAAAGCGAATAGAAACTAAGCGGATAAGTGCAAGTATATTTAAACATGACTGTGCAATGTATGCCTATATACCTTACTCCAGTTTGAAAAAATAATTCTTATAAAATTTCGTACTAAAAAATATTTGTATTTTATAAATTTAAAAAATGTTTAACTAATTCAATCTAAAACATTTAAAACCTTTAGAAATTTAATTTTGTTTCAGTTACGTTATGTTTTTCTATTGCAACAGTATTAATATAAGAAACTAATAAATCCAATATATAATTTCTGGTTTGCTCTTCATCATTAAACAACAATTAAAGCCTGTAATAATTTATTATAAATTTTATAATTCAAAACATAATCAAAATACATAGAAATAACTGTATAATATTTATCAAATAAATGTTTTATATATAAAAAACTTACTTGATTAATACTGTTGTAATCTGTTTCATATTCAGCTATGGCATAAATAAATAACTGCTTTACATTCCAATTAAATAATGATGTTAAATGTATGCTGTATTAAGGAAAAGATGCTAAAATAAATTATTTGTATAAGTTATTAGAATCATTTTTAATTTAAAAACTATATATATAAATCTCCTTATTTAAATAATATAATTGTTATTAAACATATCATTATGAAATTTTATACTTAATAAATGCAAAATTAGTTTTACCTTTAATACAGCATTTCTTTTAATAGTAATGGTTCAAATTAAATATTATTTAATCGAATTATATCTTCCTGCTCTCTATCTCTATTTTTTTCTATTTTATTTTTTAAAACAATCTATATATCTTGTACATCTTTCAGTCAATTTATATATATAAGTATAATATATTTTTACGAGATGAAGATCTAATAACGAATTTATTATTCTAATTATATTTAATTATATTTAATTAATATTTGTATATTACATTTTTAACATTTCTTTAATTAATGATTTAATAACTTAAATTTATAATTAGAATAAAGTGTAGGTAAATGAAATAACTTTAAATTAAAAAAAATTGTAAATATATATAAAAACGAAAATTTATCGTTTTAACAATTTATGTATAATTTTATTATGGTAGAAGTAAATTACTTAAGTAAAATTAAATACTTTAATACTAAAGGATATCAGTCTGAACATTGAATGTTAAAAATCCTAAGTCATTTTTCTCTCTGGATGCACTGTAATCAGGAACATTCTTTCTGTAATAAATATGAATAAATTAAAATTAAAGGCATTTATGAAATGATTCGATGTAATTTTAAATATTTTCAATTATTAATTTATAATTAAAAGAAAAAAATTATTGAAAGGATAGATCTCAAACTTAATGGCTTATCTTAATTTTATATAAATAATTTTCATTATTTAATGTCTATTAATATAATTAATATCTTGTAACATTCCTTGATTCAATTATAAACAGGCCTTCAATAACTACAACCATTTTATTATTTTATATTTTATTTACATATATAAATTATATAAAATACAGATTATATATAATCGATAATCTATATAATTCAATTTAATTTTAGTATTGCATAGATATTAATTATTTATTAATACCTTTTTAAAGTTCACTTATGCAAATACGAATTTCAGAATAGTTAAAAGATGTTATAATATAGTAAATATTACTTTACATCTTAATTATTTATATATAGTTTGTTTAAAATCAATCTTTTTAATTTGAATAAAAATTTTGAAAAAAATGGATATTAAGGCACAATTGTTTCATGAAATATTTTTTTTTAATACTTTTGAAATACTCTACTTTTGAAATAATACTATATAATTGCTATATATTTATCATATATAACTTTTTTGATCTATCATGTTCATTACCAACATTCAATACATTATTGTTAAAATTTAGTAAATTATTTATAACATTTGAAATTATTTTACAAACTGAAAAATAACGAGTACGTTAACCTTAACTTGTAACTATAAATTTGTAATTAATATTCTTCTCAATTTAGACAATGTAATACAAAACCAAAAATATATAATTATATTAAATTTAAAAAGTTAGGTTAGTATTTTAATGTAATTAAATATAATTAGGATTTAGAAAAAATTAGAAAATAGATTTAAATAAAGGTTCACCAATATTTACATACTTCATAATTATTTTTTAATCAGAATCTAATTATTCTATATATTTGTTTTATAATTTAAATACACAAAAATAAACTGAAACATTCAAATTATTAAATTAATTAGATGTTTAATACCCCCATCAAGGAGCTGCAATCTTTATAAAAGGTTCTTTAAATACGACTAAAAAGTCAAGAAATAAATTCATCTAAGTAACAGAAAACTGATTTATTTGTTATGCTTTGTACCACATTCTGATTGTACACACAATATTGATGAAAAAGGTTGCTTTACTCCTTATATTAAAAATAATGTTTTGAAGAGCTAAATTTATAATTTATTTGATACAAAATTAAATAATTGTTGTTATGATGATAAATAATATCATATATCCAAACTCTTAGTATATATTAATAAACAAACCATTGTCAATATTTTGAAAATATTGATGTAAAGTATCAATATATAATAACAAATAGTCTTTTTTTTAATTTGATAATTAATAATAAAAACTTAAAAGAAAATAACTATTGTAATATTAAATAATATATTTACAAATATATATAAAACATATTATTATTAATTTAATAAAACTTTATAAATTAAAAATAGATAGTTTAAGTTGTAAAATTATCAAGAAAATTAGTAATCAAACGTACATTAATTAAAATAATTAAATAAAATATTTGAGATAATATAATTTCAAATTTTTTGTTATTTTATTGAAATATAGTAATTATGATCTATTAAAAAAATTCAAATATATCGATTAATAGTGTTGAAGATAATAAAAATAATTATAATTTTTATATTTCTTGTATCTATTTCACTTATATACAATTATTGTAGCAACTTAAATTTTTAATATAAAATTTTGTTAAACGTTGATATAAGTGAATTAGAAATTATTCATATTATTACTTCAAATCAAAATTTTATAAATTTTGAACATTAATTAAGCCTTTGGATCTAATTTACCTTATATTAATTATAAGGTTATAAAAATACTACCAAAATAATTTTTTAACTTTAAAATATATCTAATAGCTTGGAAACTTAAAAAAAGAATTGATTCATTATTAATATTGTATTATCTTTATGAATTATATATATAAATTTTCTAAAATTGTATTTCAAACACAATCAATATACAATATAGAATCATTAAAAAATATATAATAAATACAAAACATTCAATATATATTTATAAAAAATGTAAGGTAATTATATTTAACATATTGTTTGTTGTTTTTTTAATTATATTTTATAAGTATATGAATATATAAAATAATTAAATAAGAAATAGTTACACTTACAGATTAGAATGATTATTTACATGGCAATTAGAAAATATTACTATATTTAAATTTAATTTAGAAAATCATAGTTCTTAATAAATAAATGTTAGTATAATTTATATCTTCAAATTTGATATATTAATTATACAATAATGACTTACACAAATATTTTGACCGTTTTTATAGATGCTTCTGTTTTATAATTATTAAAAACAGTTGATAAAAAACAGCAAAATGTAAGACAAGCAGATACACTTAAAGTATATGCTAATATGGCATTACCTCGTGTTAAAAATGTATGCATTTCTAATGATTAATCGAACCAATCTAAAAAAAAGATAAGTAATAAATATATATTTATGTAACACGATATTTAATAAAATGATTTAAATTTAAAAAATAACCTAATTATTTCCAATTAATTATTGGGAAATATTGTAGCCTTTATTATAGGATTTTTTGGCATATATATTAAATACGGTTTTATAGTGTAAAACATATGCTACGCAGTGAATTAATGTATTACTGTATTCAACTATTGTTATTATATGAGAGAACATTTTATCTCATTGGTTCTTGTGACGCACAAAATATAAATAAAATATATGTTTATTTATATATGCATATATATATATATATTTTTTTTATTTATACAAGGGAAAATAAAATATTTGTTAAAAAGAAATTTATTTTTTATTATTTTACAATTTTCCATACTCTACGTAAAAATAAAATATTTTCTATAAATCGAACACAAATATTTCTTATTTGAAAGAGTGATTTCATTCTATAAGGTTGTACATAATAAAATTTATTTTAAAATATAATAAATCATAGTTAATATTATTAATTTCCATGTCCATTTACTAGAAAGCATTTATAAATATTTTTATTAAAGAGCAAATTTTCAATTAAAGTACAGAAAAATTAGTCCGCATTATTATTTATATACTTATTATTGCATTCGCTTCATTTTTCTATCTATTCAAATACGAAATATTTCACATGAATATATATAACAATATTAAATGTTTCACAAACAATAAGTTAGATTTTTGCTTTATTTTTTTAAATATTTTTAGAAATAAAATTTCTTTACTAGTCTCATGGCAATAATTGTTTAAGCTTTATGGATATGAATAAATAGTTTACGCAATTATCTCTTCTTTCATATATCTTTCATTAAAATGAATTCAATATTAAATTAAATTGAATTAAAACAATATGGTAAATTAAAGCTTAATACATTTCAGTGACTACTGTGCCCTATTCAAATTAATGGTATAAAAATTAATGAACATAAAAATAAATAATTTAATGAAATAAAATTCAAGGAAATTATTAACAACTATTTTACAATTTGTAAATTTATATAATTCTAATAAATTATTATATTCTTATTTTCAACTCTATTTGGTCTAATTATATATTATATTAATTATATTATAAATAATTCTACATTTTCAAAATTAGAATAGTTTTGTTTAAATGAGCATTCTCCAGTGGAGCCAGCAATACTTCAGATCAAATTATTTTATATTTTGCTAGATTAAAATTTTCAATTTATATTGTTGTTACTACCAATTTTCAATATATTGTATTTTTTTTATATTAAATTGACTCAAAATTCTTTTTTTTTCATTTTGCAATTTTGCATTCAATTAAATAGAATACTAGTCGCTTTATTGTGTTAATTTACATTCACAAATGAATATACGATTACACACAAAACAAAAATTATTAGATATTTATATTAAATATTTTTTCATAAAAATAAGAATTATGAAAATAAATAAAATATAAAATCAATTCTAATTATTTACGTTTTATATTTATAATATACACCAATAATCAAATAAAATGAAACTAAATCTTTGTTGAAATTTATAAATCTCGTAATCAAATAGTTTTTATTAATTCAGTTTTCATAAATTAATTTAATTAAATTTAAATTTTATCATAGTTAATTCATTAATTTTATTGTATCTATGTTACACTAGAATTATTTTGTAATTAGAGCATCACAGCAAGTACAAATAATAAAATGATCTCTAATGAAATAGTAATGGGATAATAAAATTAATTAAGGATCAATTCGATAATATAAATAAACTAGAAATTATTATATACATATTATATTTTATCGTAACTACATAAATATTTTTAAAATTACTAGATTTATTAATTACTATCTCACATAATTCTAACAAGTTTGTAGTAAGGTAATTGTTCAGGATTGAAGCAATTTCCAAGATCGTTGGCTCTCGAAATTCCTAGTCCGAGCCTATTTGGCTACGAGAATTTTAAAATATTTGTTCAAATGCCCTACAATGTTTATATGGTCTTCGTATAGAAACGACGTTTGAAATTCTCCAAATTTCAAAAGCTTTGTTTTTTTTGGAGTTCTCGAAACTTCTAGAGATTTTTGTTTTGCGTTTTACGTAAGATATCGGTATAGCAACACCGATGCTTTGTTGCCAGCTGAGTAAGCTACCACGCGGATATTTAAGGGAAGCACACTGCGCCTGGACACTCATTGTAAATTATTCAGTCAAACAGTTATCAGTCATTATGCTATTCAGACACTGCTTTCTGTCATACACCAGTCACCCAGTTACACTCACGCAATTAAGCCATTCCAAGGAATACACGTTTTAATCATCAACCGTGTTATAACTTACAAGCAGTCAAGGATACTGACTGCATTACGAGAAACTATACGGCTACAAGAAGCATATTCTTGCTAATCCTTACATTAGCAGAAGCCACTTTTCATTGTATAAGCTTTCACAGCTACAAGCCATTTTTACTGTATACACTTTCAGGCCACACATCCTATATAAGAGTACTAATGTAACTATCAATAAACTATATGTTAACGAAGTTTGCACGTACGATACATTTCTACAACCATTCCACTTGTCTCCCATCCAAGCATCTGTTAGGGCAGGCGGCAAATTATTAAAGCTATCGAAACATCGGAAGTTCGAGCCAAGAAATCGTAACAGTTTTGAACAATCATATATCGAATACTAAATTTATTACAACAAATGAATTATTTTGTATTACGTCATCTGAATAGTGTTTCAGTTATACATAATCACTGCATGAAACAGATAATGTTTCATTTAATTTATCATACTATTGGACATTAATAAGAAAGTTGGTATATCAAAGATTCTACTACACTGTTACAAAATATAATAATCTATATAGATTAACTTGTTAAAATTTCACATTTAATTTTATATAATATTCTATAATTATATATATTAATTATCTCAATTGAATTTCAATTATTAAATAAATAATTAGACAATAAACATTTGAATAAAATAATTAGTAAAAATTACAATATTATTTATATACATATTCAACTTAGTGTATTGTTAAGGTAACTCAATCATAAGCTACCAATATTATTAAAACGTTTCAATTTATCTGGAAAATTATCTTTAAATAGCACAGGATCAGCACGGAATTCTACAGATATTAACGGCATATATCCAAAAATTTTAATAAACTGATTTATGCATTGCGTTCTTTCTACCATGTGCGTTAGATCTGCAGACAACATTTCAGTATTTACACACTCTGGACAGCGAAATTTTTTTTTAGCCGAAACCTTGTAAAAAAAATAATTCTATTAAAAATAAATAGGATAATTAACAATATTAAAATATTAAATGAATGTTATTATATAATAATTATTGTCAGAACATAGTTTATTTCTTCTTTCAATTTAAAAATAAAATTAATATAACGATATACATCTATTTTATTATATAATTTGTATAATATGTATATGATAATATATAAAGAATTGGAACGAAAAGGGTATTAATTGATAATAAATAAAAGATCATAGCATAAATTTCAACACATATATATAAATTAATAATTAATGTTATTATTCTGCCTATCTACAATCACTTATAGTTAAACGGTTTTTACATTGTCATAAAAAATGAATAATTAAACACAATTTATTTTCTTTATTTTGATCTCTTTGTGTTAATATACTTTTATATTTTTGTACTTTTACTCCTACTTCAAATTTAATATTAAAATATAGGATTCTCTGTGAGACTTATTTTAATAAAATATTTGAATCTATTACTATTATTATTATTTAACTTTTTTCACAAAAACATTAAACAATATAAATTTAATATAAGACAAGAGATGTTCATTAAACACCTTAAAAATTATTACTATATTTCGCATAATACGAAAAATATCTGATTTGATGTTTTAACAAGGAACGATCTTCAAATATTGGAATTATAGTTTTAATGGCTGATTAATCATCTTTCTCTCTATAATCATTCAATACAATCAAATTAATTACTATAAAAGGTATTCGTATAAATAGTATAAATTATTTATAATATAGAATAAGATTATCTAATTCGATTAGACTATATTCAATTATACTTCATTTTTCTGCAGTTTTATTTTTAAACACAATTTTGTAGCATAAGACGCAATTGTGATTTCCCGTTACTTTCGTATACGAAAATAAGTAAATATATTTTGGACATTAATATTTAAAAATAATTCAAATTAATTATAAATTATGATTATTAAAAAAAATATATAAAATGTTATGATAATAAAATATATAAATATCAATAAAATACTTTAAAATATTTTTGTTTACTTACTTTAATAGGAGCTTTCCTCGTTATATTACTAATTAAAAAATTCATAGCGATATCTTCACAATTCATATGTTTATCTACCCACTCTTTAATAACTTCTGGTAATTTGGTAGTATAAATATAATTCCAATACTTAAACAAATTAAAATTTTCAGAAAATTTGAATTTTTATTTTTAGTTATATACTTAAATAAATATTGAAGCATTATAAATTATGTTCCTAAAAATGGATTGAAGTATAAATAAATAATACAAGTATGTAATAAACTTATCGAATTAAAATCACATCGCATTTTAATTGTTATTATAGCTAATATTCATTTTAAATTTTAAAATTATATTTAAAAACTAAATTTTTATTATTTATACTTTTTTATAGTTAGTTTTTATTATTTATACGTTATCATATTAAAAATAATAAAATTAGTTAAATATTTCAATAAATCACTAATAAAGTATACTAAATAATTACAAAATCTTCAATGTTCTTTTTAATTTATGATTTTGTTTATTAAATAATGCCTAACTAGTTTTTTTTAAATTAACATTTAAAATATTTGTATATATTTTTATTCATCGATACACTATTTTTAAAAATAGCTGAGTTTAAAATTAAAATTATGTTGACCACTTCAAATGATTATTTTGCGATATTATTGCATAGCGATTTATGGGAATTATTTCTTGAACGTTTGATAGGGGTTAAAATTAAGGTTTCAAAACAAATATTTTTTAAGATCGGCGTTACATAATATTTAAAGTATTTACATACATTTCAAAATTATATTAAAATGTATCCAAAAATAAAATATCGATAAAATCAGGGGTTTATATATTATATAATACTATAAAAATACAATAATATAATAATAATAATATAGTAATATAATGCCTAATATAATAATTGTCTATATAATTATTATTTAAAGATATTATTATTATTTAGTAAAATGCGAATCACAACTTAAAATTAAATATACTCAATTGGATATAGTTTATAAATTTTATTAATATCCCATAAATTTTCCTCAATATAGAAAGTCTTTTTTGCCGAATTTCTAAATTTGATTAATAGTATAATGAAGAATTTTATTAAAATTCATTTTTTTTACTCCAAAGTTGAAATGAGTACACATAATAATTATACATTACATAAGTAAATTAATAAAGAACAAAAGAATATATTTTATTATTTAATATACTTTATAATGTACTTTTATTCTATAACTAAATTTTCATATTATTACTCGTTGAATCGTAGATGTCTTTGAAGAAAATACGGATCTATATTTTATATATTTTCACTTTGTGGAAGAAAACAACATTTGAGTTGAATTTTTCATGATAACTCGTTTAAAATATTATTATTTTAATAAATTAATATATTTACGCAATACATTGTATTAGGTAATGATTTTATACATTATTCTTTTTTTTAAGAATTTCAATTCACATAACATCAATTAACATCAAATCAAAGTAATTTTTTTATGAAAAAATAAACTATTTTTACAAGGTATATTAAAGCTTGATTATTTGTTAAAATGTATAGAAAATTGAAATAATAAATATCAATTAAAAAATTATATAAAAATTTTGGTAATTTTAAGAAATTTGAAAAATGAAAACCTTATGGTAAAATGCAGCTCCAGTAAGAACCATAGATATACGATTTGTCCATTCGCTTTCATATTTCCAACAAGCTGTTTTATTATCCCAAGTATGTGTCCGTGATGGGAATCCAACTATTCTGTCAGGAAATTCTCGCCAAACCTAAATAAATTAATAAATAACTTAAATTCATATTAATGCAAGATATATAATGATATTACAGATATATTTATAACAAATATTTTAAATAGTTGCATTGAATCTTTATTCATTGTTAAAGCTTCATTTTCCAAATAATTGTCTATAGTACTTTAAGCATTTCATTACAAACAGTTATACTGATTCATTTAATATCCTAGTTACTATTTGATTAAAGTTTGTAAAATAACGTCTTCGCCATACGTCATTAAAGTAAAATTTAAGCAAAATTAAAGCAAAAAAAAAAATAATTTAGCAAAATTACTTCATACTTGTTTTGTATGTGCACATTTACGATTTATCTCAATTTTTGCAAGATTGTCATAACTTTGCATTATTTAAATAACTATTTATCATAAAAGCAAAAAAATTATGTATAATTGACTAATAATACAATTTTCATTCAACTAGTAACTATTTTGAAAAAATATTTTTTATCATACTTAAATCTTATAGATTTTTTTCAACTTATAATTAATCCATTGAAATAGAAATAAGAGTTTTCAACCAAAATTTGCATAGTTCAAATTATTTACTTATCTGATTATTATATAATTATATATAATATATATAAGCAATAATATAAAGTAAGTCAGCAATTTTACAGAGTTTATAAACATTCTACTTAAATTAAAGTACAATATATTTTGAATTAAAGAACAGTGAACTTTTAATATTTTATTCAAATTAAAGTATAATTTTAGTACATACCAGAAAAATAACTTATCAGGATCAATTTTTTAAATTCATAATTAAATTCTTTTTAAATTCTTAAACAATATAATTTTTTTATAATTATCGTGTTGCTGGAAGATGAAAAATCTAAATATGTTACTTTTGTAAGAATGTTGAATATATTGTTTAATTCTTTTTACTTTATACTGCATTAATTTTCTATAATTCTACTATTTTTCAGGTGAAAGTATTTTCCTCTTTTTATCAATTATTGTTTTAATTAGAAATCTGTTAATAAAGATTTTTTCTCCTTCTGACATTGACTAATATGCATTAAAAATGTATGTGCAATATTTGTATATAATGCAGTCAATTGACAGTTAAATAGACAGAAACAATTTTCAATCACACAAGATACATTTTGATATTATCTTAATAAATTAAATTTAAGTGAATTATTAAATTAAATTTTAATTATAATATTGATTTGAAAACTTATATTATATATTGTTCGTTTTATATAATGTATTACCTCAAAAGCAAATTCAATTTCATCTTCAGTTAGCATAATTATGTCATCATCAATTGATAAAACAGCTTCAGTTTCTATTTCATCAAAGGGATAAAATCTATTAGACAGTATATTTTTTTTTGTTTGTATAATTTTTATACGTTTATAAATTTTTGGCCATTTTGAAACTGAAAAATATTTTTATTAAAAGAATTTTTTGTTAAATTTTTTAAAAAATAAATAAAACTTACTTTGCGGTGGTTTTTTTTTTTCATTATTCCATACAATCAAAACTTTATTGAGACTTGGAACTTTTGAAAGTCTATGAATTAATAAAAATAATAAATCAATTCTATCGTATGTTAAAATAACTGCTGTAAATCCATCATTTTTTGGAATTGTTACAGGTACAAATACAGGAGATATTATTTCCTGAAAAATGATAAATATTATTATTATACATAAAATATATATTCATTTTTTAAGATACCAATTTACCAAAATTCGAGGTTCATTCCAGAAATAATAATTTTTTGCTGAACTAGGAAATATTCTATCTGTAATTATATCCAATGTAGTCTCTGTAATTAATTGTATCGATTGAAAATATTTATTATACAACCATGAGCCATGATTTTGCAATTCTTTAATTCTTTGTAACGAGTATTTTTTTAAAATTTCTACTGATAATTGTATATCAATTTCTCGAATAAATACTGCAGCTCTGAAATATTAGTTATAGCTTTATTCAATATACAATGAATATGTATTAAATATTATATATAAATAAAATTAATGAAAATTAAATAATATAATTGATAAAAAGAAAATTTTATCTAAAAATTGGTTTGAAATATTATTTAACTTGAGTAGTTAAATATTGAAACTAACATATTGAAATTAACATTTTGTAATATATAAGTTAAATTTTATATTATAACCTTTTTATTTATTTTTTCTATGTATATATAATTCTACGAGTTATTTATGTTGATCTCAAAGACAAAATGTATATTATTTGTTCAACTTAAGTATCAGCAGATTGAAGGTACCTAATTTAAAGAATATTTGTACAGTATTATATATAAACTATATATAACTAATCACTATTCAATGGATAGTAAATTATCAATCGTTTATATGGTAAATTATTTTAAGATCTTTGGTAATCAACATTTTTTCAACCTCTAATAAAAACTTTCTCAAGTCTTGGCAAAAATTATTTTATAAATTTTCTTATTTTAAAATAGTAATTTTTCAGCTGGTTAACGTTTTGGTTCAAGTGTGATATACAACCTTTATATAAAATGTGATATAAAAAAGAAAAATAAAAAATATGATCGTAAATCTTAGTTTTTGTCATGTTACTGTTGAACAAAGTGATTCATTTTAGGAAACTATTATTCAAATATTTTTCTTACTATTACCAAAGTATTAAAATATTTAAAAATATATAATAATTTAATTATTTAATTTTTTTCCATTTTGTGTAAATATTTCTTCTTTATATTTATTAAAACATGAGTATATAATTATAACATAGATTATATCTATATTATGTATACATTAATATTCAAATGTAAACGATGTAAGGTAGGTCCTTTCTTTTAAAAAATTTTAAAATAACAAGGGTAACTTATTATTTACCTCGTGTGTATAGAATTTTGTTAAAAGTACACGCTTTTTTATATAATTTTTTTTTAATTTTAATAGTAAGGATTTATAGTCTAACAGTTATTGTATCTTCATTATATATTGTTATTTTCTTCAATAGCGCACACATTAAATTAATGCTAAAATTAAATTTATTATATTGTATATGTTCATTATAGAAGTACCTAATTTATTATTTTGTTTTTAAGACTTATTTCTCAGGAAGAATGGATTTTCATGAAGACGATGTATGTCACTAAAATAGTATTATCGCCTCTGTTATTATTTATAAATTAATAAACATATAAATTCTACTCATAAATTTAATGGTATTTCTGTTTACTTAAATTTTTATTCTAATTTAATAATCTGCTATTAGTGATGTATTACTTATTGATTTTGGAATATTCATTATTTTAGTGGAAATAAATTATCAACTAGAAACAAAAAACATTTTATTTTATTAATTAATTTACGAATTGCAAAATATGAAATTATATAACACGATTTTGCAATGATACATGTGAAAATTTTTATTTTCACGAAATATGCTGTTTTCAAATACAGATTCAATTTATTTTTGAACTCAAGGAAAACCATAATTAGTTAAATTTCTGTTTTAAAGTATAAAAATACATAATTATATTAATATTATTTTCAAACTAATTAATACTTAAATTTAAATATATTAAATTTTAGAATTCATTATTATTTACATTATTTTTTTTATATCTTTTTATTAAAATCAATTTTAATAATTCAATATTTAGTTATTCATATAAGTTATAATAAAATTATTCTCACATTTTTTTTTATATTTAACCGTTTAATATTGTATATCGCTCTACATGTTTATTAAATATTACTTAGAATTATGGAACATTGGGTTATTTTTTTTTTGCTCGTTATTTTGATTATTTTTGCTTATTATTATTATTAAGCATATATTATACATTTAAAAAGATTAAAACACATATTTATAGTAATTTAATTACATAAAAATTGAAAATATTTACTTTGACATTTTATTTATATTTACTGATAAGAATCGAAACAAATTAAAGTAAATTAAATAAGAATGTAGACGCATGTATTATTAATAGTCATATATTTATTGTAGTTCTTATATACTAAAATTAATTTATACTATATTATCTTTTTATATTCATTGAATATTTTAAGTTTAAGTAATGACTCAACATTTCGCTTTGGACTTTTTTTATTCTTTTTTAATGATAAAAACAATCTTTTATTTATCATTTGATTTTAAATTATGCATTTACATTAACATCTATAGTTATTAAGATTATGTAAATCGATTTATTCTTTTATGTATTTATTTTTCTAATTTATCTACATGGTAATTAATCTTAATTAGTTTATTATTATTTAATTCTGACTTATCATAGAAAAGTGTTCGTATGAATAATTGAATAAATATTTTAGAGCAATCATTTAGACCAGATAGTTTTTGGTCTTATACTTATTTATAAATTTATTTTTGTGTGATTATTTGGATGTATCATATTTGTACCTACTGTATTCTACATTTGTTTTATCATGCAAATACAAATTATGTATTTACACATTATCTTACGTATAGTATTTTGTACTAATTTTTTTAATTACGTTATATATAATTGAATTTATTTTAGACTATAACTATATACACTATACATGTGTATTTACACACTTTTCCAGAACATTACTTTTTAGAAATGTTATAGTTGATACTTTTATAATGCATTCAAATAATACTTATTTATCCTTCTTACGGTCAATGAGATACTTGCACTTTATATTGGAATCAACTATATAAAATTTCCATTATAATTTAAAAATTTTTTTTGTTTGTAAACGTCTTATGTATAAATATTAATTTATTTAATAAATTTGTTTATTTTTTCTTGCTCCATAAACTTCATTAATTCATTAAGTGCTGATTGGCAATTAACGCTTTAACACAATACTATATTTACATTTTTGTTAATAGTTTACTTTATTAGATTACTTTGTTAGATAATTACATTAAAATTCGTTAAAATATTTTATTTATTTTACAGAAAATTGAATTAGTTGTCTTTTTTTCATCGTCTCTAAGTTTATATTTTATTATAGAATATACAACTAAATAACAGTTTTGTTTGGAACATTGGATTTTCCAAATTTAGGTTATTTAAAAAATAATATAATAAAAATATATAATGGTACTTATGAAGAAACTATCAAATTAAACAAACCTATTTATTAAACGTTGAATGAAAACATATATCACTATTAGATAGTCTTATTTGAATTTATGAATTTAAGCTATAGTCTGGTATAATAAACAATATAAAATTAATCTAAATAAATTACAATAAATAAAAAGGTAATTGTAAAAAATAAATGTAAAAATAAATTGAGATAATATATTTCTTCGGGATTGGAGCAACGTCGAAGAATTTAAAAGGGAAAGGTATAAGCTCGCGGACGCTCATGTTTATAAACAGTGACTCTGCGAATTCATAAATATCTACGCCTTATTTTCTAGTGTTCTACAATATTTCCGCATAGCGATGTCGATGAAAATTCTCAAACCTTCCAAGACAGTGTCCTGCACTTCTCAAGCGCTATTGCCAGCGTCGTAAGCTGCTACGCGAATATTTAAGAGCAGCTCGGCACGTACCGGGCTCACTGTGCTTTTAGCATCTACTCAATCATCAGTTACGGCTCACTGAACGATTATCAATAATTCATTCATTTGTTATTGCGCGCTGTATTTCTTAATCAATCGATAATTAGTTATAACTCACAACTACGAAGCTAAGGCGCATACCTGACAATTAGTCTACAATACACAAGTATATAATTCTACCAGAATCTACTATAAAATGTTAGTAATTCTACAGTGAAGCCATAAGACTTATAACAACTAAGTGCGCCGAGCCAAGCAGTCACCAGTACCCAGTGTCGGTAGTTTATAAAGTGCCACCAAACAATTATTGGTATAAGCTAGTCATCCACGCTCAAACCACGTTCACACAGACTCTGCCAAGAAAGGAACAAGTCCTTTCGCACTCCCCTTGGAGTGCAGTTACGCTCTCTCAGTGCCTTCACTTCTCCAGTCCACATTACGTACAATACTCCCATGCTCCCCTTGGAGTATGGTCGACCTTACGGTAGACTGCTGTTCTTCAAACAGTCGACTATAACCTCTTATTAACACGTCCTTCCGCGCTCCTCTTGGAGTACAGTTACGTTCTCTCAGTACCTTCACTGCAGAGAACGTTCGTCCATTTCACGACATCACGGACAGGTGGCGTACGCTCTCTCAGTGCCTTCACTACAGAGAACGTTCATTCACTTCTCCAGTCCGCATTACCGACAATACTCCCATGCTCCCATTGGAGTATTATCGATCCTACGGCATACTGCTGTTCGTAAATAGTCGACTATGACCTCATAATATCAAGTCCTTCCGCACTCGAAGGTATGGCATTTATTGTTCTTGCGCATGACTAGCTCTCTAATACTCCTCTTGGAGTATGGTCAATTTTACATTATAACTACCACAGAGACATTAACATGTTCCCCCCTTTGAGCATGATTAATTCTCCCTGTTAGGCACTGCTAACTGCCATTACTATCTTCTTATGCTCATTGATGAGCATAGTCGACTGCTCATGCTGATCCTTACAACATCAGCATAGACCCAATAATCAACATTCATTGCAATTTCTATAACATCAATGACATCGCCAGATCAAACATCCGAAGAAGCAACCTCATCATTGAAATAGAATAATTCCCTCTCTTTTTCTCTCACTAGAAGTAATCATGGAACTGCAATATTGTAATTGTTAATAAACCAGAATAAACGATGTTTTAAATCAAAGTTACACACTGTACATATCTTCTGCTTTCCATGTGTTTTTCCTACGAATCGCTACGGCGAGAGACTAATACACTGAACTATTGAATTGGCAGTTCGAGCCACAAAACAAACCTTCAAACGATATTTATAACTATATTAAAAAATATGCCGGATTCCTTTTTACCAGAAATTTTAATACAAATTAAAAAACAAAAAATTTTAATTTATATAATATATATAGTTGCCTTATTGATTAATGTAGTTAATTTTTATATTGATAATCAAGTAAAACCTGTTATATATCACTCAGAAAGCTATAAATACGATTCCTCGCATTAAAACTATAAAATACTAAACTTTATTAAAAGTTTTTAACACAACATTTTTACATACTATTTCATATATTACATTTCCGAAACAAATTTATAAAAAACAATGTACATAAAGCAACTCTGTATAATAAAATAGTAAATCAACAAAAAAGAAATAGATAACTAATAAATATATCTATACATTTGGTATTAGTTTTTTTTATTATATAGGCATACAATACAAAAATATAAAGGAAACAGTAGATACTTATTGATTAAATAATTTTTCATACAAAAACACGTTATTATATATCAAAAACGTTATTACAACGATGAAATGCATTTTATTTGATGAAGCATCAACTCTCCGATACTGTACATTATTGATAAAATTCTTATTAGTACAGCGAGTATCGATTTAATTAAATTACATTGTATATAAATAAATAATATAAATTCTGAAAAATAAGACAAAAGTACAAAATCTTTCCAATAACTCTACCACCAAAACTATTGTACATTTCATATTCCAATTATACTACTGTTGTGCATTAATAAAAACAAGTGTGGACAACACTTTTTACTTTTAATAAATTTATGGGCTTATATGATGTTATAATTTTTAAAACTAATCTTTTTGAAATAATTTTCTACAAAATCAAGTAAAAAATATTTATTGATAAGATTATGGTTTGCTTATCATAAATTATATAAAAATATAAAAATAAGCTCAAACTTATGTTAACATAGATTATTTTATCGGTGCATTGCAATCGATTAAAAAAACTATAAAAAATATTTATAATGTATATAATAACATTGTATAAGCCAATAAATGAAAGGAGTAATAAAAGTCAATGTATATTTAGAAATACCATGAAACATAAAAGTCAATTTTTATCGTAATTACTGGAATTTATATTGCACAAATGATAATTACACGATACCTTCAATTTAATTGGATTATTATAATTGCAATATAAAATACATATTTTATAAAAATAATTATATCATGTGAAATATATGTAATTTGATATATTGATTGGTCGAACTACGGATAAAAAATGAATAAAATTTTTTTTAAATTAGTTAATACTAAAATAAGAATTAAAAAATTTATATTAATTTTTCGTATATTACAATTCAATAATTATTTAATATTTATTACTTTATCTATTTTACTTTATATATTTCAATTTTATATATCAAAATCGATAGTTTTGTAAAAGATTATTACAATTTTTACTTTTGATTATCTAATTTTATCTTAAATTAATTTACTATTAAAATAATTAAAAAAGTGATTGATTATTTTATTGAAAATTAAGTTTTATCTTCGTTTTTTAAAAATAAAATTATTAATAAAATTTAATATTTTACGACGTAAATTAAATGAATTTGAAACTTTTTAAAAAAAGTTTCTTAAATGTAATAAGGTTATACAAATAAATAGACAAGAATCTTATAAAATATTTAAAGATAAGTTTATTATTAAGATTATACAATAATAAATATTTTACCTTGACCAATCAATTACTTCATCAAATGGCATCACCAAAGAATCAAATATTATCACAGGAATACAACAAGTTGCCAATGATTCTAAAAGCACTGACAGTCCTAATTTTTCACCACGTACAACTAAACAAAATGTAGCTGTCTGAAAAAAAATAATTAAAAAATTGTAGGGAGAAGTTAAATTTTTTAAATTTATTAATTGTATCACTTAAATTAATTTTATTTATTTAAATTATATTTCTGGAAAGTTGTTATATATAATTAACTGCATAATCATTTCAAGATTGATTCTCAATTGCAATTGAATATATTTTTTCTTTGCACTATTCTTCTTTAATTCTTTTTTTTTACCTTTTTCGAATACTTAAATAAACATTTTATGCGAGTTTTATTACTTTTCGAATATCTATTATGTGATTAAATATTTTTTTCTTTAATCTAATTGTAAATCTATAATAATCAAAATATAATACATTTTATATTTATGTATAAAGAAATATCGATAGAGTTCTTATCAATAAAGAGATTATTCAACGAATTTAAAATGTTTAAAATAATTTTTTTCAGTTTTACTACGTATATTTTAATATATTTACTATATATTTAATATATATTTTACTCTTTTTAATATTGTATTTGGTTTTTAAACATTTTTTTTTAATTATTATAAATTGATTACATTTAAAATTTGAAAACTTTCTATGTAGATATTTTCGATAATTTCTCTGTAACTATTATATATTACTATAGTTACTAAATATTATTATTTAAAAACTATAATTCTTTATTCCACATTAAACATTATTAAAATGTTATTATTTTTGTTTGCATCAGAAGCTTCACTTTCTATGATAAACATTCTCAATGACTACCGCATAAACTTTTTTTATCATATATATCACTTTCTTTTAGGTAAAAATAGACAATAGTAAGGGTATTTTGTATTTTATATCCACTAATATTAAAGTCTGTCTGGGATCAGACTAGATACCTTTTGTTGATGTTGGGTGGAGGTGTGGAAAGGACAATGCAATTATTCAATTCTACACGCAGTGTTTCTTAGCTTTCATTTATTAAATACAATAATATAATAAATAGCTAATGATCATAGAGTGTAGGAATGAAGGTGTGAGTGAAAAATTTGATGAAGTTTCTTCAATCGTTTTACGTGTTTAGAAGAGTGTGGTACTCTCCATGATGTGAGGCGTGACTCCTTCCCTTCCGAGAAGTGCCGCTATAGTAGTATGCGTGCGAGCCGCCGCTGTTGTACCAAAATTTTCTAAAGGAGACCGGTTTGCTGCTGCCTTAGTATCGGTGAATAAGAGCCGCTGCTATCGTAGTATGCGTGAGAGCCGCCGCTGTTGTACCGAAACTTTCTAAAGGAGACCGGTTCGCTGCTGCCTTAGTGTCGGTGCGATCCGTTAATATATGAAGTAGTACAGTTTCGATAATTTCACTCTCGATTATGTTTACACTACCGCTTTATGAGTTTAAGTTTAGTTTAACGGATTCTGATAGTGTGGCATCACTATTGGATTGTTAGATTGCTTATTGTTTGATTATTACGTTCGTGTATCGCTACAGTCATCCTGTAGTGTGAAGCTTGAAGATTGAATAGTGAATCTGTTATAGTGACTACGTAATTATTACTGCACAGTGAAGCTGCGCGTCAATCACTGCTTTTAAATATTCTAGTATTAGCTTACGACGCCGGTATCGCATCGGAGTCTGTTGCTATGCCGCTCTTTGCAATGACGTAAGTAGGATATACCTTGGCAAGTTCATCGGCATTACTATGCGGAATTATAACCGTATATTCGAGTTTTGAACGTAGGAAATTTCCCGAATTCGCTGGCTTGTGTTTATAAACATAACTATCCGGGAACTTATACTTCTCCCACTTGTGTATTCCGCTTTCAATTGCTCCAATCCGTAACAAAGTCTTAAGTATTTTTTGTTCTATCATTACAAAATATTATATGTTTAGAGATGGCTGTTACTTAGAAAATTGTATAAAAATACTAATGTTATTTACTTTTAAATACGAATTTCAAGATATATAAATATATTCTACCGATTTAATAAGATTTTAGAGAAATGAATGGTGATAAAAGAGTTAGGAAAAGACAATAATCATCACTTTTGAAAGTAATCTATTAGTAATTAATTAAAGCAATTAATAGTAAAAGAAATTAGTAAAAATAAATAACAAGAAAAAAATTATACTTATACAATAAATTTAATTAAATAGTATTCTTTTCAGGTTATCTGATCGTTCAATTAGTATTATGTTATGTAATTTGTTCCTAAATATTAGAAAAGAGTCCGGTCAAATAAATTTTGTATTAATATATTTTCTATATATCCTCAATTTTATTTATTTAAAAGAAAAATTAAACAATTACTTGAAGCAATTTATTATAGTTCCAATAGATGTTAGTGACTACATAAATTATCATTATTTTATTACTAGAATAATTAAAAAGTTTTATTAATACTTATAAATATAGTACTTCAATAATAACATATATATACTCTCAAAGAAAATAGTAGACTCTAGTCTAAGATAATATTGAAAATATATCTATTTGATTTGCTTATGAATAAATAATAATTTTATAAAAAATTTTCTATATACTATATGCAATTGAAATGTTATTAATTTCTTTTATACAAATGCATAAAATAAATTGCACTACAAATAACAAAATAACGATACTATTACTAAATAAAAGATAGTATACTTACTTATAATGAATTATAGAAAATAATAAGTTTATTTAAAATGTTAAAATTTATCAAAATAAAACTATTAAATACAAAAAAAAAATTAATTTTGATAATTATATCGGTATTGAGCTAAACTTTTAAAAAATAAATATATTAATAAAGCTCATTTGAATATATTTCAATAAATATCGAGATAATTCTAATTGGAAATATTTATACACGCCTTTTAAGTTTTGATCCAAATATGTCATATTAATTCAGTTAGTATCATAAGCTTAAAAATTGGTATTAAATTAATATAACAATATCTAAAATACTCTAATACAGATAACATTCAATTAGTCGGACAAGTAAAGGGTTAATGCATCGATTCATTAATTAACACATCTTTAGTCTTGCTGTTTGATTCATTTATTTTACTTTATTTCCAATAGGAATTATTAACCTTGGTTAAATTACAAATGATCTTTATATTTCTTGATAATCTTATGGTGTTGATATATCTGTTCATTGGATAAATAGAGGATAATCAATTTCTTATTCTCTGCATGTCACTGGTGAGATTATGATTTACTGTAACAAGAAGTAGGTTATAATCTATTGAATATTATCACTGAGAGGTTATGGTGATTGTAGTGCTCTGATCGAACACTGCAATGCTATTGTGTTTATCTTAACACGTGTGCAGTTGCCTCTAAATATCGGTCGTAAGAGAGCCTAAATGGAGGTTATGCGAAGCTGTGCACCATCTGTGGCGGGAACAACTTATAGTTGGAGGGATTGAGAAGCCAATGTGGCTTTTGTAGCTGGTCTTGTCCTAGAGTATGTCCGGGAAGCTTCCGTAGTTGGACTTTAATCCGTCCGTCTTCTACATAAGCCGAGAAATCAAGAATCAGTACTAGCTGGAAGGACTTACTTGCAGTGTATCGTGATTTTCCAGTCTCTCTTCGGTGGCCTGTTATGACGTTCCCTTGCAATGTTGCAACTCTTTAGTTCTTCCTTATCTCCAAGTGAGATTACAAGTGGTCAGGTCCTATGCAATCCAGTCTTGATGAGATCAATTCAACTGTACACTAATTCACAATCGTAGGAAGAACTTCTTATTAAAACTCAGCTAGCTAAACGACTTGTCTCTCCGGTCCTCCTCCGTGAGAGTAGGTCGTGACTTGTCCTTTAACTGTGAGAAGTATTTGGAAGGAGTAACTCGTGACTTATCCTTATACTGTAAGAAGTATTTGGAAAGAGTAATTGAAGGTATATTACGTAGTCCCTTTCTTAAATGGTTCACTGATCCCGCTCCACTTGGGATCCCTTCTTCCTTTATTAATTAACCAATCAGAGGTTGATCTTGGGCCGCACAATAGATTATGCACGCCTTCATTTCCACTTCCTTCTGGGCTCAGTTCCGAATTTGCTAATCGGGAAAGTGTCGGAAGGTGGTGAGCCTTTTCCATTGGTCACCTTTCCTTGGTTGCCTCATCCATCTCTGGGACTTGGCTAGAAGAAGGGTCCCCTTGGGCGTGGTCAATTTTCCAATGCGATCTACCAGATGTGGCATAGCGAAGAACAATACAAGCATTGTCTTAAAGGCCGAGTGCGCACGTGCGGGTTTTGGGTTGCAGTGAATGAAGTAAATGTTTTGTACTCAATGCTTTACGCATATCTGATATTCGTTCTGAATCTACTTTGGGGTTCTCCCGGCAATAAACCCATTAAGTTCTACTACGTTTACCAGATGTTTTATGACACTAGTGCAAAATGATTATGAGCAGGAAAGTTTTGAAGTCTTAAATACAATTTTCATGATATTACTTGCCAGATGTTTTATTGCCTTACTAAAAGGAGTCTCTCATTCTCAAACACAGTGGTCAATTGAGGTGAGATTGAAAGTAGGATGCAATGAATAGGCGAGAGTTACTTTAGGTAATCTGTGATAATAATCTTGTGAGTGTATTCTTGGTGGTGCGCGTAATTCTCCTACTCGTAGTTGTGATTCGTAATGGTGGTGGGAGATGTGCTGATAAAGAGTCTTGACGCCGCCGGTTGCCGCTACCGATAAGCTGGAGCGACCTCTGGGGCGCGGTGAGAGGGGAGCGATACTGTGACGTCACTCTTTCTGGACAATGATGCCGTTATCTTGATATGCTGCTTACTTGGTTCGTGTGTTGGTGATCTGTAAGAACGTGTGTAATAGCGTAACTTACGTGTGTTGGAGTCGATCTCAGTTGAATTGATGGTACGCAAGAACGTGTGTAATAGCGTAGCTTACGTGTGTTGGAGTCGATCTCAGTTGAATTAATGGTACGCAAGAACGTATGTAATAACATAGCTTACGTGTGTTGCAGTCGATCTTAGTTGAATTGATGGTACGCAAGAACGTGTGTAATAGCGTAGCTTACGTGTGTTGGAGTCGCTCTGTGTGTGTTGGATATAAATTCTATGCACGTGGAGTTAACTTGTAAAATGGCGATTCGATCTTGATGACTGCTTGGTTGAACTAGTAAGAGGACGAGAGCGTCAAGTGCAGTTCCTTAAATATTCTCGTACGAACTTGCTGCGCCGATAGCACATCGGTGGCTGTTGCTATGCCGATATTTGTCGTGACGTCAACAGGGTATAGCCTTGTAGGGTTCATTTGTTATTACCTTTCGGAATTATAGTCGTATATTTGAGTTTTTCGGTTAGAAGCATTCTTCGAGTCCGTTAGCCATTTGTTTACAAACAAATATTCGCGCGCTCATACCTCTCCCACTTTTATTCCGCTTAAAAATGCTGCAATCCGTAACACTACATTTACTTAAATTATAATCAATAAAATCATTATTGATTTTACAAATAGAGATTCGACTCCATACCTAATGTTATAGGTTATGAAGTTGTTTTAAAATTATATCTTGAACAATTACACAATTGAAATAGAATAATTTTAATGTTTCTAAAATCAACTATCTATCATTACTTGTGTTACAAATAAAGTAGTATAGAAGTAATTATATAATACTTATATGAGTAAAGTATATAGTAGTAAATAATGTAACTTAATATAGACAATAGCTTGATGTAAATATTTATTAATAAATGTCTATAGACAAAAAACAAACCATGCCGTAAGTTTTACTTACAATGAAAAAAAGATACAATTAGTAGAATAAAATAGAATTATGGTGTGATTTTTTACATACAGAAGCTTGAATGTGATGACAGGAAAGATTTATACTTGTTCAAAATTGAAAATATGAATTCTTTTACAAGTCATTATCGATAAATTTTTAATTCTGCATAAATAGTTTAATTCAACATATTGTACAATTAAATTTAAATAATTTGTTTTTATCGATGAAAATTAAATATTTATTGTTGAGCACTTATGATTATGGTATATTATTCATACATAATTCCACAGTAGAATAAGTTCGATAATTTACATAAAAAATAAAATTTCCTAATATCGCAGTATAAATTCAGAAAGCTTTACTTTCTGTGCAAAGAATTATCATGGGCAATAATAATATGGGTAATAATATTAAGATTTCTACGGCATTTATTCGACTAATAAATGTGTTATAATATTGATTAACACAAAAATATTAACAATTAATTGAGTTTATAAAAAGTACTGAATAATTTAATATCTCGTGAATAAAACTACATGCATTTATAATCGTATAATTATTGGACATTAATAATAAGAAAATCAAAGAAAAATGAGAAAATAATAGAGTTAATAACAACATCCGTCGTTTTTTGTCAATTTTGACATGCAATATGATAAGTAGTTATATATATATATATGTTCGGGATTGACGCAGTTCCACGAATTTAAGAAAAACTGGGTCATACGCGCTGCACGGCGCACGGCATGCGCGCTCGGGCGAATGTTTATAAACAAAACTCGACAAGTCCGAGCAAATTTTACGATCTGAAATATAATATACTATAAGATACAATGGAAGAACGTTCACGAAACTTCTGGAAGCTTCATTTTCTAACGCCACAAAAAATTTTCGGTATGACGATACGCCGCAGCACTGTTGCCGGCATTGCATCCGCTGCATGCATATTTAAAGGCAGCTCACCATGTGGCGATGCTCATTGTAATCTTACATCGCACTCACTATACTGTAATTGCCGCTCAGTGTTTTTAGTATATACTGTGACGACGACACGTGGCCATAAATTCGGCAGCCTAGTAGATAATATACGTGTGCATTATTAAAAGGAAATCGGCAGATTTAGTAGCGATTTACAGTGAAGCCAATGGAATAGTAATCAAAGGGGACATCAATTACGCAGCAATTAACACACCTTGTCTGCAGCTCATAAGGTACATTTTTATATAAATAATAAGCTAGTCACACCTCGCACAAAAATAAATCTGGCAATTTATATTCTTTCTCAGTCGAACCAACGCTTCGACCCCGTCCGGTCTCTCTCGATCGAACCAATGCTTCGATCCCGTACAGACCCACAAGAGTCAATCGGGCAAATTTACGGTCTCTCTGTCGAACCAACGCTTCGACCCCGTACAGGCCCATAAGAGTCGACCCAAACTACGCAATTCGTCAAGCACATTGTTAAGACCAAACAACAATATATTGAATAATCAACTACAACTACATTTCAATAAGTCCTTCAAGAGCACGAATATTTATCATTAATTACTCTCGTGTGTGACTAGTCTTTTCTACTGCCCCCATAAATAATTCAAGACATAATTGATTACTCAACAAGTTCCATTAAACATTCTACACCATATCAAGCATACTTGATTCAAACACCATCTTCTCATGCTACCTCATAAGCATGATTGACGGACTACACCAGCTGATATTTACACCAGCCTTACCTCGATTACAAGACACGCAATAATATCCATAAAATCTACGATAATCAAGAGTACAAGGACACACCCTCAGTACTACAATAGAATACTTCTTTCTCAACAACATTGCAGTATTATTATTATAATTATTATCAAATAATAAACATTGTTTTTACTAAATACATGACATTTTTCAGCCTTGTCACTTATTATTTCCTTTAAAGTTATCCTACCAAAAGACTAATCCACTGAACTATTGAATTGGTAGTTTGAGACATAAACTAAGCCTTTAAAATCGAACATATACGTGTACTATTGTATATTTTCAATTATAATTATCTTTACTTTTTGGGGGTTCCAATTCTATACATTATTACAAATATGAAATTATTATTAAAGAATATACAAAAAAATATAAATAATTGTCTAAATTAATTTAAAAGACATTATTGTAAAAATTAATGATGTAGAAAATATGTGAATTCTATTTCATACTATAATGCATTGTTACATCAATGTAGATATAAATTATTTAACAGAGTAAAAAAAGGAAGAAATTTATTTAGCTAACCATTTATTCATTGTATTACTTAATTTTGAAACTTACCAAAGTGAAAATAACAAAATATCAAAATGAATTATTTCTATAATATATATATGGAATATTTAACTTACTTGTAAAATTTCAGGATATTTAAAACTTCTACGATTTGTACATCGGAAAAATGTGTCCGTCATATTGAAATGTGAACATGATTGTAATATTAATAATTCATTCGGAAATAGATGATTTATTTCTAATAATTCGTTATCAAGATGCGGATTAATATTAATTTGAGTCGATACAATCAAGTATATTCTAAACATATAATGTGAAAAATATTTAAATAAAGTATTTTACAAACTTTCTTAGTTTAACTTAATAAATTTATTTTAATAGTATTATTATTCATAAGTATTATTAATAAACTTATTCATATTATTATCAATGTTTTGAACTAGACTAAGTTCACCAGTTTCCTAGAGGAAGAAAGTGTAAATAAGTAGAAGGGAAGCGCATTAATTCAATATAAAACACAACTGTTTTTCATGTTACTTATTGCGTTTATTTTACAAGCTATACTATAATGATTCGAAGTTGATGATAAGAATTGTTGAGATCTTACCGTTTCTTGGTTGTTGCCACGTGGTTTTAGTATGCACTACATGTAGAGGTAGGAGGTCGTAAATCTCTTTAAACTACTTCGTGTAGCGCCACGAGGTGGTAACTTGATTGCTGGTCTCCTACAAGCTATGGTGTGGTGTGGACGGGTGAGGAACGCCTGCGACTGCTTTGTACTTGCGGCACTAGTATTGTAAAGGTCTGCGACTATGCCAAGAGTGTTTCCTTCTTCCTTGACGACCCATGTCCTCCGCGGCGTCCCTTCTAAGAGAGCGTCTCTTCCATGACTTCTGTTAAGACAAACCTTCTTCTGCGGCGTCCCTTGTAAGAGAGCGCATTCGCTTTTCGTGGTATCCCTTATAAGACAGAGCGCCCGTTCTCCATGGCGCCGCTTGTAAGACAGCGTCATCACTTGTGGTCGCTTCGTTAAGAGGGCTCCGCTCATCACGGCGTTCGCACTTAGGGACGCCCCTATATTGGCGTCTCCAATCAGAGTGCCTCCGATTCGGTGTCTCTACTTGGAGCGCCTCTGGCTTTAGCCTCTTCAATCAGGGAGAGTAGTCTATCTCTTGGCGTCTTCGCTACGAGGGAGCCCTGATCGAAGCGTCCTTGCTTTAACTAAGCAAACGACAGTATGGTTAGTTTTGACAGTCTATGCGATTGCGAACCGTTATATTTTAATGATTTGGTGTAACGACTATTTCAAGATGTCTAAGGATGTGGGTTTGTCAGATGGTTAATGATTTAGGAACGGTTCACGCAATTTCGAACAATCAACTTTGTTAAAAAAATAATTCCACTAATCTGCCAAACGTGTAAAATCAACTTAAAACAAAAAACCACTAGATGTTGTGTCAGAAAATGTTGGGCAAGTAAAGACACTCATTCAATAATTAATACATTTAATTATTACTGCTGTTTATTCCAATTATTTCACTTTATTTCAAGTTGGAATTATTAACCGTGATGAGATTATAAATGACTTTATATTTCTTAATAATCTTGTGGCGTTGAGATATACTTTTTTATTGGAGAACTAGAAGATGATCAATTTCTTATTCTCTGCATGCAACTCGCAAGATTATGATTTACTGTGAAAAGAAATAGGTTATAGTCTATTGAATATTATCACTTTTGGTCCTTGGAGTCGGATAAGTGGAAATCAGTGCATACATTCAATACTACCACAAAAAGGAAAACAATCATAGGATAAAAACACAGTAAGTAGATCAGTGAGTACAAGAGAGATTCTTCACTACTGTAAGTAAAACATTACTGCTTTATCATATCAACATGTCTACTCAAGGCAAGAAGGAAAGCAAGGAGTCAGTAAGTGTTACAACGCGCAGCACTACCAGGGAAAGTTAACTGGTGAACAAATTCTGACGGCCCAATCACAATGGACCCGAATCGAGACGATGCGAGTACTAACTGACAGCCTTAATGCAGAAAAAGCAACCATAAGCCTACCCGAAACCTTAGCAATAAAATACGCAATCGATGAGATACACAACACCTTCATGATGGAACACAAATTCATAACAAGCAGCTAGCCACCGTCAGGGCCTCGTACGAGTACTTCACAAGGAATGCCATGGTAGACGAATTCGTTTGCCACACTAAGGCCACAGCGTTGATCATGAAACTGTGTCACGAATTGGTTGACACGACACAACCAATTAAAACCTCACTAAAGAGGATAAGCAATAGTCTCAGCACATGAAGCACAAACTCCAACATGGATGAGATACCATCCATGGAAGACAACATGGATGAATCACATAAGACATTCGCAATGGAATATAACTCGAATGAAAACACCTGGCCAGCGACAGGTGTCAATCACGAATACTGTACAAAGGGTGCAGTGGAAGAAGAGCTTACATGTTGTGCTACTGCAGTAGCGAATGTCAGAAAGCCGTGTCGAGAATTAAGCGAATCGACACAAATAAGCAAAATTACCAAGCCTGAAGAGAAGGCACATGCAGTAGATCCACGAGAAATGGCTGATCTTCCCGACATAACTATTCCAAAATCCCTAAAAGACATGGAGGTATCAACGCAACACAATATCCCAACTGCAGGAAACTCCATGACAGTGAACGTAGCCTTATTTCACGTCAACGACCAAACAGAAACGACATGGGAACGATCACTGACAAGCACCACTACATACTCAAGGCTCACGAAACTGAACTCATTTACACTGATTCAAGTAGCCACAGTAGACAATGTTACTGAAATAAGAAAACACCAATCTCAATCCCACATATCCGGCTCGAAGGACCAAATTGTCTGGGATTGGACTAAAAGCCTCCCTGTGATGGTGGATGGAGGCTTGTTGGCAAGTGGAAGGGACAATGCAATAATTCAACACTGCCCTTTGAGTGTAGTGTCTTTCCTTTTATTGAATATAATAATATTATAAATTAGTCAGTGGTCTATGCATGTGGAAATAAATGTATGATACAATGAATAGATGAGAGCTTCTTCAATTAATATTAGCGACAAGAATTCTGTAAGTGTATTCTTGATAGCTTGGTGCTTGATTCTCCTACTCGTAGTTATGAACTCGTAGCGGTAGTGGGAGACTCGCGCTGACAAGGGGCAGCGATGGTACCGCCTTTGCCGCTGGCGTAGGATGAGCGCTGTAGCGGTCTGATAGTGGGGGATGCCCGTGTGACGTCACTGGTAAGGAGGCAGCGATGATGCCGCCGTTGCCGCTGGCGTAGGATGAGCGCTGTAGCGGTCCGATAGTGGGGGACGCCTATGTGACGTCACTGGTAAGGAAGCAGCGATGATGCCGCCGTTGCCGCTGGCGAGATGAGCGCTGTGTAGCGGTCCGATAGTGGGGGACGCCTATGTGACGTCACTGGTAAGGAAGCAGCGATGATGCCGCCGTTGCCGCTGGCGTAGGATGAGCGCTGTAGCGGTCCGATAGTGGGGGACGCCTATGTGACGTCACTGGTAAGGAAGCAGCGATGATGCCGCCGTTGCCGCTGGCGTAGGATGAGCGCTGTAGCGGTCCGATAGTGGGGGACGCCTATGTGACGTCACTGGTAAGGAAGCAGCGATGATGCCGCCGTTGCCGCTGGCGTAGGATGAGCGCTGTAGCGGTCCGATAGTGGGGGACGCCTATGTGACGTCACTGGTAAGGAAGCAGCGATGATGCCGCCGTTGCCGCTGGCGAGATGAGCGCTGTAGCGGTCTCAGGGAGGGAGGATGTCCGTGTCACATCACTGCTTGACGGGTGGGAGGATTCCTCGCACTGTATACCGTGTATTAGTGATCCGTAAGAACGTGTGTAATAGCGTAGCTTACGTGTGTTGAGGTCGATCTCAGTGGCATTGATAGTACGTAGGGACGTGTGTAATAGCGTTACGTACGTATTGGAATCGATCTCTGTAGCAGCGTTGGTAGGACGAGTGAGCTTGGCTTCCATTGAGCTGGAGTCGATCTCTGCAGCGTTGGATGGCCGAATGAGCTTGGCTTACGTTGAGCTAGAGTGGATCTGTAGAATGGCGATCTGATCTTGATGAGTACATCGTTGAACTAGTAAGAGAACGAGAGCATCAAGCGCGTCTCCTTAAATATCCTAGTACAGGCTTGCAATTCCGGTGATTTCTGGAGCACTCTTGTCATGCTGATTGTTAGTGACGTCACTAGAGTCTAGCCTTGGGGAGTTCGTCGGCCCTTTGTTAGTCGGAATTGCAATATAATATTCGAATATTTTGCGCAGTGAGGTTTCCCGATTCAACTGCAGAATCGCGGCATGGCGGGCGGTTCCAGTGAGAAAAAACAGCAATTAATTCATTGCGCTGTCCTCATCGCCATCAAATCGTTAGACAACCATAAGTAAAATGTATTGCTAACTGTACAATATAAAATGGATTAGAATGAAGTCCACAAGAGAACACGCCTCACTATGACTGGAACCCGATTCAACTGCAGAATAAATAAGCTAACTATTCACTGGAGTTTTCCAGATGTATTGACCGTCTCGAGTGTCCAGCGACCGTGGGAAGTCGTGGCAAGAAATTGTTCTCACATTCTCGAACAAACTTTTAGTAAATCAAGTATATTATTCCCTATTTCTACTGATTTTTCTTATATTTAAATATTTCCATAAATAATCGCGTACAAACAAAAATATAGTATATTTATTCATTAATTAAAATGAATCAGATTTTTATTTGAACTGTAAGTTATTGATTAATTAGTGACCTTGCTGATAAATTGTTTATATCATTTACAATATTGATATTGTTTGCGTGTTATTCATTTCGTATTATTTTATTTCACAATTTTATGTATTAATTTTGTTTCATTATAAAATACCAAAAAGTTACAATATAAAACGAGATAATGAAATTATCATGACTATTATATAATGAATTTGTTAGGAATATGAGCATTTTCCGAAACCTTGGCTTTCGGAAAGCTATAAGCTATAAGCTATAAGCTATCAAAAATTGTAAACATTCAATTCCGAGAATTTTCGAATATTCCAAAGCTTTACTTTCAATTGTCCTACAATGTTTATCTGATCTTCGTATAGTAACGACGTTCGGAATTCTCCCACATAGCAACACCTATGCATTGTTGCCAGCTTTTATTCAGTCAGTGCTTTCTGCCATACGCCAGTTACTCAGTTACACTCATGCAATGAAGCCATCCGAAGGATTCCATGATCAAGT